GGAACTACGTGGCCCTGCAGATCCTGCAGCAGATGCTCTTCGGCGAGGACCAGCAGCCCGAGATCATCTTCGGGTCCAGCTTCCCCCGGGACCAGGAGTACGCGCAAGTCTGCAGGAACATCAACCGCGTGAAGATCTGCATGGAGACGGGCAAGATGGTGGTGCTGCTCAACCTGCAGAACCTCTACGAGAGCCTCTACGATGCCCTCAACCAGTACTACGTCTACCTTGGGGGCCAGAAGTACGTGGACCTGGGCCTGGGGACCCACCGGGTCAAGTGCCGGGTGCACCCCGACTTCCGCCTCATCGTCATCGAGGAGAAGGACGTGGTGTGCGAGCACTTCCCCATCCCCCTCATCAACCGGCTGGAGAAGCACTACCTGGACCTCAACACGGTCCTGGAGCCGTGGCAGCGGCGCCTGGTGGAGGAGCTCAAGGGCTGGGTGGACAAGTTCATCGACGTCTCGGCGGGGCGGGCCCACGCCCGGTACAGCCCCTCCGACGTCTTCGTCGGCTACCACGCGGACACCTGTGCCTCGGTGGTGCTCCAGGTCATCGAGCGGCTCGGGCCCGGGGCCCTGAGCCACGAGCGTTACCAGAAGGTCCTGGAGGACGCCAAGCTGGTGCTGCTGGACTGCGCCACGCCCGACGCCATCGTCCGGCTCAGCGCGTCCGCGCTAGGCAAGAGTGCCGCGCAGGCGCTGTCGCGAGAATACTATTCCGGGCAGCAGCACGACTCCTTCGCCGACTTCCTGCAGGCTCACCTCCGGGAGCCCCGCCCGGAGCACCACCCCGTCTTCACGGAGGTGATTGTCTCCCCGCGCTGCCACCCTCACCGCCTTCCGCCTCAGAGGCCTGGGTCCCTGCAGTCAGAGGCTCTTCCCCAGCCAATTCCGGTCCGGGTCTAGGAATCAGAAAAGGACAGGTTGAGACTTTTTTTAAAAAATACGTTTATTGACGTCAGAGAGGAAGGGAGAGGCAGAGAGAGAGAGAAAAACATCCATAATGAGAGAGGATCACAAATCGGCTGCCTCCTACAGGCCCCACAAGCTGGCAACCTGGGCAAGTGCCCTGACCGGGAATGGAACCGTGACCACCTGGTTCCCAGGTCAACGCTCACTCATTGAGCCACCCGGCCGGGCCAGGCAGGATCTTTAAGAGCTGGCCCCCCAGGGACTGGGAAGGGCGGTTGGGAGAGTATCACAGTGTCGATGAGAAATGGCAGCGCCCGGGCAGGAGACCAGGAGGGGCCGGAATGGAGCCTCACGCGCTGAGCCAGAGTGCCTCCAGGTGGGGTGAGCGGCCCAGGAGGCCCCAGCGAGGGCATGTGGAGGGAGGGACGGATGGTGAGGGACTGGCGTAGAATGGGCACAGCAGCGTGGAGGCCGCTGGGAGCCTGCCAAGTAAGTGAGGATGGGCAGAAAGGAGTTGGCAACATGCTGGCAGAGAGAACGCCTGGTCCCGGGTCAGGGCCGTGGGAGATGGAGGAGTCTGGGGATGACTCCCGAGCTGTTCCTGGATGGCTGGAGGTCCAGTCCATCACATGGAGGATCCTGGAATGAGCAGTGAGTTTGGGCGGGGGGCGCGGTGGTAAATCCCACTGGGTGCCCCTGTCAACCCCAGAGGATGTGACTGTCATGCGGTTGGGTGTCGGAATCAGGAGCTCAGTGGGAAGACCAGCCCTGGGCAGGGTCGGCAGTGGCCAGGCAGCACGCCCATAAGGAGTGTTCTGGCTGCACTGCGCAGAGGGACCCAGTGGCGGCAGAGAGCGCCGTCTGGACGTGAAGCAAGGTCGCCAGGGAGGAGCCTCCACGTGTGTGAGCCCTAAGGGACAGCTAGGCTTTCCAGTGGGGCCCAAAGCAGGCGGAGATGCCGAGCCCGGGAAGGAGACCCCATCTTCGGGACAGGGGGTCTTCCCTCCACTGCCTCTGTCCCGGGTCCTGCTCCCCTCCGCACGGCCTCGTTTGTAAAAACTCTGGCCCATGGAAGGTGCTGGCTGACCGTCCGCGCGTTTCCGGGATCTAATCCCTGGAGACATGCAAACAGTCTGCGTGCCCCGACCCCGCAGGTCACCACTTTCTCCAGACTGCTCACCTGTCACGACTGTGAGATGTTGGGATCGGAAGTGAACGGCCAGGCCCTGAACCCCACCATCCTGTCGCTGCAGCAGTTTGACACCGAGCACTCGTTCCTCAAAGAAGTTCGGTGAGGTCCCGCCGTCCCTCCTCCGGGCCCCGTCCCCTCCGTTTCTCCTCTCAGCTCCGTCCTCGCCGTCCCTCCTGCGGGCTCCGTCCTCAGCCCTGGCCACATCCTGTTGTTTGTGTGGCTGGAGTGACCATGGAGCTGTCAGCAGCGTTGGGTAACGAACGTGAGGACACGGGATGCGGAAAAGGACACTTGCTAACCCTCCAGTGTGTCCCTGTCGCCGCTGTTGTCTCCTGGATGGGCGTCGTGCTCTGAGTCCTGGTCCCCGGCCTCACCAGGCAGCGTTGACGGGGGTTTATTCTTTCCCCGCTGGGTCCCACTCACTTTGGAAGAGAATTCACCTGAACAGTTTAATGGCAGCCCTCATAGTTCCCAGGGGGCGGGGGGCTTTCTCACCTGCTTAGGATGTGTGCTTCCTCCTGTTCCAGAAGCTGCCTGGCGAGCACGGCCACGCGGAAGATTCTCATCATCCAGACGGACTTCGAGGATGGAGTCCACAGCGCCCAGCTCATCGCCTCGGCCAGGTGCGCTCGGTTCTTTCTCTGTGCCGGTGCGCGCGCGCGCGCGTGTGTGTCTTCCCTGGAGGCAGGACAGGATGGTGGCTCACACGGAAATGAGAATAAGCGGCTCTCCCTCCCATTGTCCCCAGGTGGCTAGAGGGACAGGAGAAAGAGAAGCAGAGAGGCAGGCTAAGAACACCAACACGGAGACACGCAGGGAGTGGAAACGCTAGCCCCTCGTAGGATGTGAAGGGATGTCTGCCGGCCGGGCTCTGCAGGCCTGCTTGGGTCTGATTGGTTTTAAAGGATACGATTTGGATGATTGCAGGGCCAGGGGCAGGCCAGGACTTAGGTGATTTCATCTGTATTTCTTGATTGGCTGATAGTGTTTGTCCGGGACATACGAGGCTTTCAGAACCCTGTTCCCTGTCCCTCGTGTTATGGCCCTCTGGCCCCTGGCTGTCTTCCCTGGGACCTAGCTGCTGGGAATGCAAAGTCCCGATGGCCTTGCCCTTGGGGAGGGGAGCGACGCCATCACGGAGCGCTGGGGAGGGTTTCTGATCCAGAAGAAATGCCGAGGGGCACCGGGATGGCCCGCACACCCAGAAGAGGGATAACCACCAGGGTGCACATTCATTTAAAACTGAAAGAAGGCTGCCTGGCCAGCGTGGCTCAGTGGTGAGCGTCAACCTATGAACCTGGAGATCAGGGCTCGTTTCCCAGTCAGGGCTGACACGCAGGTTGTGGGCTCTATCCCTAGTGTGGGGTGTACAGGAGGCAGCCAATCCTTGACTCTCATCATTGATGTTTCTCTTTCCTTCTCCCTTCCTCTCTGAAACCAATTAAAAACAAAAACAAAAACTGGAAGAAGGGAGACCCTGAGCTTGGACCTGCCAGCTCCTAGGACACCCTCCAGCCACTTCCCACCTTCAGTTTGGGCACTGGCTTTATCTTTGCATCGATTGGTGGCATTTGTTTGTTTTTAAATTTGTTTTGGTTTTGCTTATATGTTTTAAAAAATAGGTATTCTGCCATCAATGAAATCAACAAGATACAAGGAAAGAAGGCCTGCATCTCTGTCTATTTCATCACGAAGCTGTCCCGGATGGAAAGTGGCGCGTCCTACGTGGGGTTCCATGGAGGTAGGACAGATGTGTCGGTGACTGCGGTTACGTAAGAGCGTGGAGTTCTTCCTCAGGGGCCTCCGGGTGCACGTCTGAGCTAGGACATTGGTGTTAGGCTCCACAGTAATCATCTCAGATGCGGCTGGGTCTGGTGCAGCTGGTTCCCGCTCCGAGCACCCACCTCGTGCTCGCTACTCAGTGCACAGCGCTCCTCAGCATCCATATCCGGGCTCCTCCCATTCAGTTTTTTTTATGTTTCCGTTTTTGGCTGATCCTCACCCAAGCACATGTTTTTCCAGTTAACTTCTAGAGAGAGTGGGCGGGAGAGAGGGAGAGAGCGAAAAACGTAAGTGAGAGAGTCACATCGTTGGTGCCTCCCACACTGGCCTGGACCCTGAGGCTGGGGATCGGACCTGTGCCCTTGACTGGGAATCAGCCCCCACGGTCCTCGGGCAGATGCTCTAACCACTGAACAACCGGCCAGGGCCTCACCGTGTCCACATGGGAAGTGCAGAGAAAGCGTTCCCCACGCACCAGAGGGACACGCTGATACTTTATACCTCTCTCGCTCCTTCCTCCCTCATGGCTCACCAGGTGTTTTCTAGGTGAGAAGGCTGGCGTTCTAGAACCGGCACAGAACGGTTCACCTAATAACCCACAGGCAGCAGAGAGGCCCAGCCGTGCCCGCCGCGAGGGGGTCTCCGGCTGGCACAGATGTCGGGATGAGGAGCTGAAGATGCTAGCTGGGTCGGGGGGGGGATTTTATTTTATTTTTATTTATTTCATTTTTAAAGTATGTTTTTATTGATTTTGGAGAGGGAAGGAGAGAGAGGGAGAGAGGGAGAGAGAAAGAAACATCAATGATGAGAGAGAATCATGGACCAGCTGTCTCCTGCACGGCCCCCACCAGAGCCCGCAACCCGGGCCTGTGCCCTGGCCGGGAATCAAACCGTGACCTGTAGGTTCATGGGTCGACCCTCAGCCACTGAGCCACGACGGCCGGGCTGGTTGGGAGTTTAGATTCCAGGACACGAGTGGCTCCCTCGGGGCTGTGTCGGCCGCGGGATGGGGTCTGTCCCTGCCTCCGGCTCAGGGCGCAGAGACCCGTGGCTTCGCCTCTGCAGGGCTGTGGCAGTCCGTGCACATCGACGACCTGCGGAGATCCACGACCATGGTGGCCGACGTGACACAGCTGCAGGACATGCCCATCAGCCAGCTGTTCGACCCCCAGCGTACGTGCTGGGATGCCCTGGGCGCACGGCGGGCGGTTCCCCCAGAGCCGGGGGGTCTGTGGGTGCAGAAGGCGCAGCGGTGAGCGCCATGGTCCCTACACCCTCAGCACACGGGACCCAAGAGCGGCCTCCCGGGGAGGACCTGGGGCCCTGAGGCTGAGCTGTGTGCCTGGGCCCCACTCGGGGACTTGCTGGGCCACCAGTGGCCTGACTGGAGGGGTTCCCTCCACAGCAGCTGAGGAGGAACTGGAGGCCAGGAGCGACCAGGAGGAGGCGATGGAAGTGGACACAGACAAACCCGGGGCAATGGCGGACAGGGAGGTGGACGGTTCCAAGGCCCAGAGAGGCCACGTGAGTGCAGCTCGCTCCCTGGACCTCGGAAGCTGCGGGTGCCGGGGATCTGAGGAGCAGACCCCGTGGCCGGTTGGCCTCGCTCTTCCCTCCCCGCTGTGCATGCGGGCAACACCCCAGGACAGGATCCGACTGGGCTCGTCTCCCGGCCGAGTCCTGAGCACATGCGACCCCTCGCAGGGTCCAGAGGGGAGCCGGGCATGGGGACGGGGTGGGGGGACTGTGGCTGACGGCGGCTCCGTGGTGTCCCCAGAGGCCAGCGCTGGACTGCGGCAGCCTCCTGCGCAGCTGCATCCAGAGCGCGGTGGGGCTGCTGCGGGACCCCGGCGAGCATGGCCAGCGCAACGTGCGGCGCGTGGAGATCCTGCTCGGCCTCCTGGGCGAGGATGCGGGCGACATAGGCAAAGGTGAGCTCCTCGCCCAGCAACCCCCCAGGAAGGCCCCCCCTCCGGTCCTGGCCGGGCTGGAGGGCCGGCGTGAGGCCAACCGTGTCCCCCTGCCGCCCCGCAGCTTCCTTCGCGCGGGCGGCCCAGGTGCGCCTCCACCACCTGCTGCTGCGGCAGGAGGAGAGCTGCGTGCTCGGCAGGAAGGACTGGGTGGCGCAGGAGGCCTCCAACCCCGACGCCCTGCAGGAGGCCGGCACCTTCAGGTACGGACCACGGCCCCGGGCTGCGAGCGGGCGACCGGCGGGTCCCCGGTGGGTCACAGGCCGGCGGGTCACACGGCAGTGGGTGGCAGGCCGGCGGGTCACACGGCAGTGGGTGGCAGGCCGGCGGGTCACACGGCAGTGGGTGGCAGGCCGGCGGGTCACACGGCAGTGGGTGGCAGGCCGGCGGGTCACACGGCAGTGGGTGGCAGGCCGGCGGGTCACACGGCAGTGGGTGGCAGGCCGGCGGGTGAGGGCGGGCGGGCAGCGGGCAGGTCAGAGCCACCTTTCACCTAACCTGCAGGTGCACAGGCTGCCGGGCGAGGAGCCAGGGGCTGGGGGACTTCATAAAGCCATGGCCATTTACATTTAATTTGAATTTCACAAAAGAAAAAGAAGCTGATGATCGCTGAGCTCACAGACATTTCCTAGACGAGAGCTCGGTGCCCTGAGCTTCCCTCGGAGCGGCAGGGGCTGGCTGTTCCCAGGGACAACTGCTCAGCCCTGTGTACAGACGGCTTCTCGCTGGGAAAGAGGAGGTCGTTGGCCCAGCCTCACGGGCACGAACACGCGGTTCTGGAAACACGGCAGCCCTTCTGTGCCGTTAGTTAATGTCAGCCCTGACTCCCAGAACCTGCTCAAAGCCCCAAAAGGGGGCGCACAGAGGGTCTGTTTCCTGGGGCTGCTGCTCTGACGATTGCGGACTGGCCGCCCAGCAGGAGCAGGGGCCCTCCGATCTGGGCCAGGGCCTGAAATCAGGGTGTTGGGGGCTGGGCTCCCTCCAGGGCAGCGGGTCCAGGCAAGGTGCTTCCTGCCTCTTCAGCTTCTGGAGGCTCCTGACCGCATCTCTTCAATCTTCACGTGGCCCTCCTCCATCCTCACGTGACTTTTCACGTGTGTTCATGTGGCCCTGCCCCCATGTTAACTTAAAAAGCATTTTTGTGGGTTTGAGCCAAACTGTTGACAGCGCCGGGAAGCAGGGTCTCGGCGTCCGGGAGATGCTCGGGAAGAGGGCAGCTTTCCGCCGTACAAACAACCCGACATGCATGGCGAGCTTCGTCTCATGGACGGAGCCACGGGAGACGCTGGCCCTGGTGGCCATGCGCCGCCCGCGGCCCTCTGACCTGGACGGCCCCTCTGCCCGCTGCAGGCACACCCTCTGGAAGCGGGTCCAGGGCGTGGTGACCCCTCTGCTGGCCAGCATGGTGGCCATCATCGACAGGGATAGCAACCTGGAGCTGCTGGCCACGCCCAACACCCGGGCCTGGGTCCGAGAGCTTTGGATGTTCATTTTCAATGACATTAACCTGCTGAGCATCCCTCTGGTGACCAATGACGCCCGGTGAGCGGCGGCTTTCTTTCCGTGTAGGGGGGCTGGGCGGGGGGAGGGGAGAGCCCTGCGTGGCGGCCGAATATCTGTCCTGCATGGGACGCACAGGCACTGATTTCAGAGCCACAGATGGTCGCTCCTCGCAGCCGACAGGGCCCGGGATCCGTGACTCTGAGACCTCTGCCTCCTTCGCCACTGGCACGGCAGGTGTTGCCAGCGCAGCTGCATGGAGGGTGCCCCGTGCCCCTTGCACATGCAGCCGCTCAGCCCCGGCCAGGCCCACCCCTGCACGGCGCAGGTTCCCCTAAGCTTTCCACTGGCACTTTGGGGGCTTAGATTCTGGGGTGCAGGGTGAGTAAAGAGAGCAGAGCAGTGGAATTCGGGACCCCAGAGAGACAGAGGGGACAGACCCTGCAGGTCCCCAGACTAACCCTCTCTCAGCCAGCCCAGCCGGTCCCGGCAGGCCCGCAGGCCCCCCTCTGCCTTGTTCTGTTTGGGGTGTCTGGAGCCCAGGCCCCCAGGGTGGAGAGGCCGGCTGTGGGTGGCTCCTGTTGGTATCTCAGTGCCTCTCTCATGCCGACTGCAGGTCCAACAGCGACAGGGCCCACATCCTGGTGCAGAGCTACGCACAGCGCCCGGGGGAGGCCTGCAGCGCCGTCCCGTTCAGCTGGCGGATCCGCGACTACGTGGAGGAGCTGTGGGTGCAGGCGCAGTACATCTCGGCGGCCGCAGGTGCGCGGGGGTGCTGGACAGCAGGCGAGCCCGCTCCATCCTCACGTGACTTCCCAGCGAGGGCCGGAGCTGGGGAGGTGTCGGCGGCCACGAGAGCACAGGGCCTGTGTCGGGCCGCTGTCCGGTCCCTCCTGAGCCCAGTGGTCAGCTGTCAGCGCTCAGGAAAACCAGCATTCCCCTCTTAATGACCTCATCTTTGCTTTCCTTTTCCTTTTTAAAATATGTTTTTATTGATTTCAGAGGGGGGGGAGGGGAGAGAGAGTGAGAGAGAGAGAGGGAGAGAAACATCCATGAGGAGAGAGAATCATGGATCAGCTGCCTCCTGCACGCCCCCCCCCCCCCCCCCCCCCGGGATCGAGCCCGCAACCCGGGCCTATGCCCTGTTGGGGAATCGAACCATGGCTTTCTGGTTTATAGGTCAACGCTCAACCACCCAGCCCGCCGACCAGCCTAAAATAATCTTTTTAAAGTTGACATAAAAGTACTGCCTTTAGCCGAAACCGGTTTGGCTCAGTGGATAGAGCGCCAGTCTGCGGACTGAAAGGTCCCAGGTTCAATTCCGGTCAAGGACATGTACCTTGGTTGCGGGCACATCCCCAGTAGGGGGTGTGCAAGAGGCAGCTGATCAATGATTCTTTCTCATCGATGTTTCTAACTCTCTATCCCTCTCTCTTCCTCTCTGTAAAAAAATCAAAAAGATATATTAAAAAAAAAAAAAAAGAAAAGAAATACAGATCGAGCCAAAACCGGTTTGGCTCAGTGGATAGAGTGTCGGCCTGTGGACTGAAGGGGCCCGGGTTCGATTCCGATCAGGGCATGTGCCTTCGATTCCCAGTCGGGCATGTGCCCGGTTTGTGGGCTCTATCCCCAGTGCAGGAGGCAGCCGGTCCATGATTCTCTCTCATCAGTGGTGTTTCTATCTCTCTCCCCCTCTCCCTTCCTCTCTGAAATAAGTAAAAATACACTTTTTTTAAAAAAAAATTAAGGGATTGTCATGGATTGGTGGGACCCCCTCAGGGGTCATGCCCCAAGCAGAGGGAGGGGAGCGTGGCGGGCCCTCACCCGCCGCTCTGGGCCCTCCGCAGGCCCGGGCCCGGGACCGGCGGGGAAGCTGGAGGAGATCTTCCTGCAGACCCCGCTGGGCTGCTTCCTCGCCGGGCTGCCTGCAGAGGCGCGGCGGGAGCTGCTGCTGTTCTACCTGCGGGACTTCCTGCTCCTGACCATGCAGGTGTCCACGGAGCCGGCGCTGGAGGTGAGTGCTGCCCCTGGGCTGCGGTCCCGGGCCCCGGGGTGCCGCTGCTTCTCTGTGCTCAGTGTCTCAGGGAGCTAAGTAACATTTCACGGCCACCACGGGGTAATGACAGCAGCAGAAACATCCGCAGGAAAGTGGGCTCCCTTTAAAGCTCAGTGCCTCGAGCAGGAAAGGGACCTATTTGAGGAGCACGTGTGACCGACGTGATAAATTAATACAGTATGCTTAGGAATCAAGGAAATCCTCTTACTTTTAAAAATGAAAGTTATGCCTGGCCAGTGTTGCTCAGTGGTCGAATGTCGACCCATGAACCAGGAGGTCAGGGTTCGATTCCTGGTCAGGGCATGTGCTCAGGTTGCAGAATTGATCTCCAGTGGGGGGTGTGCAGGAGGCAGCCGACCCATGATTCTCTCATCTTTGATGTTTTTATCTCCTTTCCTCTCTGAAATCAATAAAAAATATATTGAAACAAAATAAAGTGTGTCTACGTATCTGTGTGTAACTGTCTGTGTGTAACTGTGTCCTGTGTCTAACTGAGTGTTCTGTGTGTGACTGTGTGTCTGTAACTATGTGTGTAACTGTATCCTGTGTCTAACTGAGTGTTCTGTGTGTAACTGTGTGTGTTACTATGTCCTGTGTCTGAGTGTCCTGTGTGTAACTGTGTGTGTGCAACTCTGTATGTAACTGTGTGTGATGCACAGACACCCCCTGAAGGCCTGTCTCCCCAGCTCCTACAGATGGCCCTGTGGTCCTGCATCCAGCAGCTGAGAGCAGGCAGCCCCGAGGAGCCCTCCCTCCCTTGGGTGCACCGGGCCTACCAGCACTTCAGGATCCGGCTCCAGAACTTCTCCAGGATCCTGACCATCCACCCCCCAGTTCTCCACAGCCTGGCTACAGCCGCCCAGAGCCAGGACCCGGCCGGACCCGAGATGGTAGGGCCCCTATGGGAGGCCTAAGCGGGAGGGAGGGGGGCGGCCGCTCCAAACGCTCCACCTGTGCGGAGCAAGAGCCTGCTGCGTTCGGGGCAGCGAGGAGGGGCTGCCCGCCAGGCCTCGGAGTATGGGACCTAGAGCTGCAAAGGGGCCGAGAGCGGCTGAGTCCCCACTCGCCCGCAGGTCCTGGACGTCTGGGCCGCCATGGCCTGCACGGAGCTGCTGACCCGGGACCTGCTGAAGCCCAGCCCCCAGGCGTGGCTGCGGGCGGTGAAGAGCCTGGCTGTGCCCGTGGAGCTGCTCTGCTCCGAGGGCTACGTGCAGGCGCCGGCGGGCAGGGCTGGCGACCTCATCCGCGAGGTCAGGTGAGCTGGTTCAGTGGAAGGAGGACCAGGGGCCCTGCCAGTGGGGCCCCTTCCTCCTGCTGGAGACCCCAGGAGGAGAGGACAGCGTGCAGGGAGGGGGCAGGACCGCTGTGGCCGCGGGCACCCGGAAAGGACCCCTCGCAGGACGACAGGGTGGGGCACAGTCCTGGGCTGGGCTTACGGGCGTGGGCGCAGCGGGACTCACCAGGCACAGGCTGGCCCAGCATGTGCCACACGGCAGACGTCCCCAAGGGGCCCAGGGGGAGACCAACATGGTGGAGGGCGGCCCACGGCATGGGGCCACCCCGGCCCGCCTCCGCCTGTCCCGGCCCCCTCCCCCACACTCCGGTCTCCCTCCGCCCGCCCGGGCTCCGGGTCAGCTGAGCGCCTCCTCAGGGGCCCGTGGACGCGCATCTTCTCGGTGGCGCTCTTCGTGGAGCACGTGCTGCTGGGGACGGAGGACCACTCGCCCGAGCTGCGCGCGCTGGTGACCGACTGCGTCTTCTCTCTGGACAAGGTGAGCGGGCGGCGGGCGGGGTGACCGCGCGTGGCCTCCGCTTGTCTGCAGGGCGCTGTGCGCCTGTCAGCGCCGCAAGGTTGTCTGAAGTGCAAAGGGCAGCGACCTCCCCGCACAGGCTCCCGGGCTCCGCATGGTCACTGCTGGGTCCTGGGCCCTGTCCTCAATGCGGTCCGAGCAGATCCGGCCCGGAAGCCACGTGCCCAGAAGGCACGCACTCCCTCCCCTCCCCCCACCACTTGCCAAAAATCAGGACCATTCTCAAAGCCCGAGAGCAGAAACGGGCGTGGTCAGCCGTCATGGTGCCGGGCAGCTCCCCGGGGAGGGCCTGCCCGCAGCGAGGGGGCAGGCGCAGAGGTGGCACGGAGGGACACCTGGAGGGGGGCCCGCTGGACCTGCAGCTGGACCTGTGACCTGGTGTCTCTGAAGCGATGTTCCTCCGGCTGGGCGGTCGATACACAGCAGTCCTTACGTTATCATTTAAAGTTTGAAATCTTTTGTGGGAGGAGGGGTTAGACCTTAAAAACAGGAAGAGGAGCCCGGCCAGTGTGGCTCAGTGGTTGAGTGTTCACCTATGAACCAGGAGGTCACAGTTCGATTCCGGTCAGGGCACAGGCCCAAGTTGTGGGCTCCATCCCCAGTGGGGGGGGAGGGTTGCAGGAGGCAGCGGATTAGTGATTCTCTTTCATCATGGATGTTTCTCTTCCTTCCTCTCTGGTAAGATAGATAGGTAAATAGGTGGGTAGGTGGGTGGATGGGTGGGTGGATGGATGGATGGATGGATGGATAGGTAGGTAGATAGGTAAATAGATGGATAGATAGGTAGGTAGGTAGACAGATAGATGGATAGATGATAGGTAGATAGATGGACAGATAGATGGATAGGTAGGAGGGTAGGAAGGTAGGTAGATGCATACATGCTCTGGCCAGTTTCTCCCAGTGGTTGGAGCATGGCTCATGGACCAAAGGGTCTGGAGTTCACTTCCATTCAAGGGCACGCACCTCAGTTGGGGGTTCAGTCCCTGGCCCTGGTCAGGGCATGTGTGGGAGGCAACCAATCCATGTGTCTCCCTCACAATCTCTCTCTCCCTCCCCTCTTCTCCCTCTCCTCCACTCTCTGAAAAAGTCAATGGAAAATTCCCGGGGTGAGAATCAGAAAGCATGCATCCTTCTCCATCACCAAAACACCAAGAGCATGTGGGATAACGAGACACACACACACACACACACACACACACACACACACACACACACACGGCCTCCCGCACAGGTGTCCGCCGGCCGGCAGAGTGGGCGTCAGCGCCTGGCCTGGCTGACCCGCCCTCCTCGCTGCTGACCCTCCTCCCGGCCCCTGCCTTGCCCTCCAGTGTCTGCAGGGGAACTCGGACATCAAGACGCTCCCCCCGTTCTTGGCGGTGATGACCGTGCTCTGTGAGTGTAAGGACCGGGCAAGCAGGACCTTCGCTCGGTGAGCTCCCCAGCGGCCCCGAGGGAGGGGAATCGGACCCTCTGGGTTCCTAGCATACCCTCCCCCCCACCCCAGCATCTCCAAGCCAGTGCTCACCACTGCCCTGGGTCCCAGGTTCGGGATCCAGCCTTGCCCCGTCTGCCTGGTCGACCCGCGCAGCCCCGTCTGCCTGCCCTGCGACCACGTGTTCTGCCAGGACTGTGTCAAGCAGAGTCTCACCATGGGGCAGATGGCCTGCCCCCTGTGCCTGACGGAGCTGCCTGATGGCTTCTCCCCCACGGTTTCCCAGGAGATGAGGTAAAACACTTGCCCAGCCCTGGCCAGTGTGGCTCAGTGGATAGAGCATCGAACAAAGAGTCCCGGGTTTGATTCTGGTCAAGGGCATGTACCTCAGTGGCAAGCTCTTCCCTGGCCTGGTGCCTCGGAATCACCGTCTCCCCAGTCCCCAACACACACGCTGAAGAGGGGGGCAGTGACGTCAGCGGTAGCCCAGGAAGTCAGGTCCCCGGCAGCGTCCAGAGAGGCCTATGCCGGAGGGGGAGCCGGCGGGCGGGCAGGCGGGCTGTTGAAGTCCGAGGGGAGGGGGTACGGTGGCGTTAGAGGGAGGGCTTAGCGTCCTGCCCTCGCCCGGAGGGGCGAGCGGAGGCTGTGAGGTGTGTGGCCGGCGGGTCCGGGAAGAGGCGGGAGCACGCCTTCCCAGCCAGCGCGTCCGGTGCGGAGATGCTGCATCTCTGTATTTAGAACCCAAAACGCCGGCCATGCGCCACACAAGAGGTTTGGAGGGAACCTGGCAGCCCAGCCTCTGACCGGGTCCCCCGTCCCCCAGTGACGCCATCGAGAGGCACGCCCGCTTCCGCCGCCTGTGCATTGGCTTCTTCGTGGACCTGGTGTCCACCCTGTGCTTCAAGGACAACTGCCCACCCAGCAGGGACGTGGTCCAGGCGCTGCTGGCCCTGCTCTTCACGGAGAAGACGCTGCTGCGAGACCCGCCCCAGAGTACGCGGCTTCCTGTGGGGGCGGGGCTCTGCCGAGGGCCCTTTGCACATTCTTTTTACTTTTGTTCATTTTTAAATATTGGTTATTGATTTCAGAAAGGAAGGGAGAGAGGAATTCTCATCAATGATGAGAGACAATCATGATCAACTGCCACCTGCACGACCCCTACAGGGGATGGAGCCCGCAGCCCGCGCATGTGCTCTGACTGTAAATTGAACCTGGGACCCGTCAGTCCACAGGCCAGCACTGAACCTCTGAAACACCCTAGCCAGGGCCTGTTTGTATATTTGTAACATCATTCGTGGGCCACTTAGCCCCGCCTGTGAGCCAGGCCACGCCTCCAATCCCGGTCCGGGCACAGGCCCGGGCTGCGGGCTCCATCCCCAGTGGGGGCAGGCAGGAGGCAGCTGGTCCATGATTCCCTCTCATCATTGGTGTTTCTCTCTCTCCCCCTCTGAAGCCAATAGAAACATTTAAAAATTAGCCACTTAAACATTAACCCGCTGCATTTGGTGAACATTGAACTTGCCCCTAGTGCCATGGCAGGGCCAGACCGAAGGATGATGCCCGGCCCACCCTGGCGTGCACCTCACAGTCCCCCCCGTCTCTCTGGTTCAGGCCACACCAAGTCCCTGTCCCCATTTGATGATGTCGTGGACAAGACGCCAGTCATCCGCTCCGTGGTCCTGAAACTGCTCCTGAAGTACAGGTCAGCGCCGCGGCCAGCAGCGCGGCTCTTCTCCTCCTCGTCCTCTCCTTCCCCTGCCTTCCTCCCCCTCCCCTCCCCCTCCCCTCCTCCTCCCCTCTTCCTCCTCCTCCCCCCTCCTCCCCTCCTCCCCTTCCCCTCCTCCCCATCCTTCTCCTCCTCCTCCCCTCCTTCTCCTCCTCCCCTCCTCCTCCCCTCCTTCTCCTCCCCACCTCCTCCCCTCCTCCCCTTCCCCTCCTCCCCATCCTTCTCCTCCTCCCCTTCCCCTCCTCCCCATCCTTCTCCTCCTCCTCCCCTCCTTCTCCTCCTCCCCTCCTCCTCCCCTCCTCCCCTTCCCCTCCTCCCCCTCCTTCTCCTCCTCCCCTTCTCCTCCCCTCCTTTTCCTCCTCCCCTTCTCCTCCCCTCCTCCTCCTCCTCCCCTCCTCCTTCTCCTCCCCTCCTCCTCCCCTCTTTTCCTCCTCCTCCCCTCCTCCCCTTCCCCTCCTCCCCATCCTTCTCCTCTTCCTTCTCCTCCTCCTCCCCCTCCCCTCCTCCTCCCCTCCTTCTCCTCCTCTCCTTCTCCTCCACTCCTCCTCCTCCCCTCTCCTCCCCTCCTTCTCCTCCCCTCCTTCTCCTCCCCTCCTCCTCCCCTCTTCCCCTCCTACTCCCCTCCTCCCCCTCCTCCCCTTTTCCTCCTCCTCCCCTCCTCCTCTCTTCCTCCTCCTCTCCTCCTCCATATCCTCCCTTTCCTCCCCTCCTCCCCTCCTTCTCCCCTCCTCCTTCTTCTCCCCTCCCCTTTTCCCCCTCCCCTCCTCCCCTCCTCCCCCTCCTCTCCTCCTCCTCTCCTCCTCATTTTTCTCCTCCTCTTCCTCCCCTCTCCTCCCCTCCTCTCCATCCTTCTCCTCCTCCCCTCCTCCTACTCCCCTCCTCCTCCTCCTCCCTTCCTCCCCCTCCTCTCCTCCTCCTCTCCTCCTCTTTTTTCTCCTCCTCCTCTCCTCTCCATCCTTCTCCTCCTCCCCTCCTCCTCCTCCTCCCCTCCTCCTCCTCCCTTTCTCCCCCTCCTTCTCTCTTCCTCTTCCTACCCTCCTCCTCCTGTCCTCCCCTCTTCCTCCTCCCCTCCTCCTCCACATTCTCCCTTTCCTCCCCTCCTCCCCTCCTCCTCCTTCTCCCCTCCTCCTCCTCCTCCCCTCCTCCTTCTTCTCCCCTCCCCTTTTCCCCCTTCCCTCCTCCCCTCCTCCCCATCTTTCTCCTCCTCCTCCCCCCCTCCCACCTTGGCTCTCTCCCTGTTGGGGAGGCTGCTGTGCTGACAGAGCCTGCCCTTGTCTGTGTCAGGCATGTGCTGGCCGTTCTTACGCATGACGCATGGCAGACGCGGGTCAGCACGGTTACAAGGCCTTGCTGGGGACCAGAAAGGAGGGGGCAGGGAAGGAGGCCGGGCAATGGGACCCAGGGGGTCTCCTGAATCAGGGCCCGCGAGTGATCTTGGCCACAGGTGGGTGATGTTTAGGGAGGTAACCGGGACCCCCGAATCCTCGCTGTCCCTCTGCGCTCTAATTCAGCTCCTACACGTCTGTGACTCTATCAATGGACAGAGAGGCCTGCAGGGTGCCAGAGTGCTCAATTTTATTTTCCATTTACTTCATACACATACACACGTGTACGTGTATGTATATGTGTGTGCACATGTGTGTTCATAATCTGTGTGTGCACACTTGTGTACATGTATGCACACACAGAGATATATGTATACATCTATATATTGATGGATTGATTTCAGAGAGGAAGGGAGAGGGCAAGAGAGGAAAACATCAACGATGAGAGAGAATCATGGACCGGCTGCCTCCTGCCCTCCCCACGCTGGGGATCGAGTTCACAACCGGCCTGTGCCCGGACCGGGAATGGAACCGTGACCCCCTGGCTCATAGGTGGAGGCTCAACCCCTGAGTCACGCGGCCAGACTGCCTATACTGTGTGTGTGGGCAGCCGGGGAGAGAGAAGTAGGAAGGTGACCGGGACGCACACACGCACACACACACCCGCACACCCGCTGTCCCTCTTGGGACGGGGCTGAGCGGGCAGGCGGCCTCCCTGCAGCTTCCCGGCGGTGAAGGACCACATCCAGGACTACCTGTCCCGGCTGGAGCGGAAGCCGTTCCTGGACAAGGACAAGACGGAGCTGTACGTGCTCTTCAGCAGCTGCCTGGAGGTGAGCGCGGCCCGTCTCGTTCCGGACCTCGCTTCCGAGAGCCCTCCCGACCCCGGGGAAATGAGCAGGAGGGTTCCGAGCCCAGTGGTTAGAGCTCAGGCCCCCGGGTCCTGGTTCGGTTCTGGCTAAGGGCATGGACCTAGGTCGCAGCTTCGATCCCCAACCCTGGCCGGGGCGTGTACAGGAGGCAGCCCGCTGATGTCTCGCACATGGATGTTTCTCTCTCTCCCTGTGGCCTCCTCCCTCCCTCTCACCCTGGAAATCCGCGGGAAACATGCCCTCGAGTGACAATCACAATAAGGGAGACAGGAAGAGCCCTGCCCTTTGTGTCCGCCCCTAGGACTCCATCCAGGAGAGGAGCAGCGCGCTCCCCGCCCGGGACGAGGCCACGGGCCTCCGGGAGGACGGCCAGTTCCTCGAGGCGTGTCTGCTCAGGGGGCGCCGCAGGGACCTCGCCCCCGAGGCCTCGGTGGAGTACCTGCAGGAGATGGCCCAGATCCGCCTCTGCCTGGACCGGGCCTGCGAGGTCCTCTCGGAGCTGCAGGGAGACTCGGGCAAGTCCCCCGTCCTCCCTCCCCCCGTCCTCCCTCCTCTCGGCTCAGAACCCCAGCGCTAGGAGGCCGGGCCCAGGCCCTGGGGTTTGCCAGGCTGAGGACGGGGCTGCGGGCCCTCCGCCCGGCTGACCGCGCTCTCCGTGGCCCGCAGCGCCGGCCGAGGCACGGCGGCGGTTCCTGCAGCAGGTGGAGCGCTTCTGCACGCAGAGCGAGAACGACTGGTACCGCGTGTACCTGGTGCGCAGGCTCGCCAGCCGCCAGGGCTTGGAGTTCGTGCAGAGCTTCCTGCAGGCCGGCCACCCCGCCCAGTGGGTGTTCCCCCACGAGGTCCTGGCGCAGCAGGTGAGGAGCCGGTGGGGCCACAGGGAGAGGCCTGCTCTGCCCGGGCCAGGGTCTCGGTGCTCCAGGGACCCCCTCCGCGGGCCGGGACCTTCAGCAGCCGAAGGAGAGAAAGGGACATGCGCACGGGGCTGCCCGTCACCCTCCCGCGAAGCTGGCTCAGGCGGCCAGTCGCTGGCTCTGCACAGCGATGTCTCTCCCCTCCCCCCTCCCTACGGGTGAGGGTGTGGACGCAGCGCCCGTGGCATTGCCTCCTGGGCAGCGGCGTTCCTGTGCCTGTGGGCGAGGCCTCACTGCCCTCGGTCGGAGCACAGAAGCCATGTGGGCCTCGGGGCCTTAACGTGTCCGGTCCCGTGCGTAGAAACGGGCACCCTCCCGCTGTCCCTGGTTAGAAGTGGCACTAGGACCCTGGCCGCTCTTACTGTCACCTGGAGCCCCTCTCCGGTGCTGCTGTGAAGGGGGCAGCAGCACTGCGGGGGGGGGGGGGGGGGGGGGCGTCGCCTCCTCGCCCATCACCCCTCTCCGTGCACCCAGCCCTGCACTGCTGCCTGGGGCCAACCCGGAACCCCGGCTCTGCGCCCCTGAAGCTGCAGTGATGGCCTGCTTCGTATCTACACACACGGCTCTCTGCTGAACCCCCCCATCCACACACACACACACACACGCACACACACACACACACACCCCGTGGTGAACCTTGCTCCCGGGGTTGCAGGAGGACCTTCTGGGCCAGATGGACCGCTTCCTGGTGCACGGGCTGGAGTACAAGGCCGTCCGCGACGCGGTGGGCAAGGCCGTCCTGGAGAGCAAGCCCTCGACCATCGGGGCCGCCCTGGGGGTAGGACGCCCTGTCCTGGTTCCATGGGACCTGGCAGGGGAGGGGCTGTGGCGGGAGGGGGGTGCGGAGCAATGGCGCCGGCGTCTGCGAGGAGTCAGTCCTGCTGGTGCTGACTGTGGGCCCCCGTGGACTCCCTGCTTAGGGTGGGAGCCACGCCGGGTTTTTGGAATCTCATCTTTATATGTTTTCTTAATTTTTTAATTATTTTTATTGATTTCAGAGACGAAGGGAGAGGGAGAAAGAGAGAAACATTAATAATGGAAGAGAATCGTGGATCGGCTGCCTCCTGCATGCCCCACACTGGGGATCGAGCCCACACCCCGGGCCTGTGCCCTGACTGGGAATGGAACTGTGACCCCCTGGTTCATAGGTCGATGCTCACTCAACCCCTGAGCCCCGCCAGCCAGGCTGGAATCCGGTCTTTAACGTGTTCTGGGCTTCCTTTGTGGGCCCTGTGCACCCCAGCGTCCTGCCAGGGAAAGAGGGGGCCCTTCCTAGGCTCAGGGCGAGTTTTGGGGACCACGTCGTCTGGAGAAGGAACGATGGTGATGGGTTCCGACACCAGGCCTCTGGCACATGCGCACAGAGCTTAGCGACTGAAGGAGCTCGCGTCCTGGGTGTTGTCGCCCTGAGGTGGCCCCTCGGGTGCAGGCTGCAGGGTCTTGGGGAGTCTCCCTGCCCCTCATGGTGGGGGCCGGGGGTGGCGCTGACTGCGCTGCCCAGCCCCCCCGCCTTCCTCGCCCCAGGCCTGCAGGGGCTCCCAGGCTCACCAGGCCACGTACCTGCTGCTGGCGCTCTTCCGCGAGGTGGCCATGCTGTACCAGGCCCGCAACACCCGCCTGCACCCCAAGCGGGAGGTGAGTGCCAGCCTCGGGTTCAGAGGAGACCGTCTGAACAAAGTACACGTCACAGACGCTGCCCTGGCCGGGTGGTGCAGTGGACAGCGCTGGCTCCTGCACCAGGTCACCTGGGCTGCAGTTCATTCCTCAGCCCCAGGGTGTGTGTGCAGGAGGAAGCCAGTCAATGCATCTCTCACGTGGCATCTCTCTTCCCTCTCTCTCCTCTCCCCCAACCCCACCCCCAACCCTCCACCCTCCCTCCCGTTCTCTCTAAAAACCAGCGGGAAAAGCATCCTCTCTTGCAGATTAACAAGTCACCACACAAAGCATGCCATCCCTCCCGCTTCATCTGGGGGGGCTCACCCTTTCATACGGGGTGGGGGGTGGGGCTGCTTTTTGTTTTCCCCAAAGCTGCTAGGGTTGCAGCTACAGCTCGGGCAAGAAGGTACACACACACACGTGGGCTGGTAGGCGTCTGCTGTTCAGATGGCGCGTGTCTACAGAGCGCACCTTTGGGTACATGGCGTGCTCCTCCTTGTGTTTTAACGCTGAACCCCATTCTCCCATCAGCAACTCGAGGCCCTGTGCAAGTCCATCGAAGAAAGCCAGGTCCTGTCCTCGGACGTGAGACCTTTTGCCACAGCCCTTGTGACCAACTCTCTGCCGCTGCTGAGGACCGTGGGGCCAGGACACGGTGGCCTGGCGGGCACGCTGGCCGAGCTGGCTGTCCACGCCGCCGCCACCCTCCTCTGCGGGCGGCACAGGGTCTTGGAGCCTCTGAGGAACTTGGCCTTCTCCCCGGCCACCATGGTGGTAAGACTGCCTCCAGCCTGCGCGGCTGGGTCCACGGGGCTGCCACGCAGATTCCCCACATACCCCGTCTGTGCAGAGGACTGTTGAACCCAGTTGTGTCCTTGGTCCCCGCTGGCCTGTGTCTCGCCCATCCCTATGCCCACAGTGTGGGAAGAATCAGGCCTCGCCCTCTGTTGCCATGGAGATCTGTTAGGTGTCTTTTTCTTTTTAGCGAATATATACTAACAGCCCAGTGCATGAAATTTGTGCACAGGTAGGGTCCCTAGGCCTGGCCGGTGATCAAGGCCAACCTGTGGGGTGACCAGCGGAGTGGTTGGGAGGCCCCTGCTGGCACCCACCTTGGCCAGCCTGAGCCACCCACTGGCCAGCCCCACCACCACTGGTGTCCTCCCTCTATGGGGTGATCTGGGGCCCCCACTGGCACCCACCTTGGCTGGCCTGGGGCCTGCAGGCAGCTCTGGCACTGAGTGTCTTCCCCCTGGTGGTTAGTGTGTGTCTTAGTGACCAGTCATTTTGCCATTCAGTCAATTTGCATATTAGGCTTTTATTATATAGGATATTTTTAAATACTTTTTGTGTGTGTTTTTTTTAAAATATATATTTTATTGGCCGGGACTGGTTTGGCTCAGTGGATAGAGCGTCGGCTTGAGGACTGAAGGGACCCGGGTTCGATTCCGGTCAAGGGCATGTACCTTGGTTGTGGGCATATCCCCAGTGGGGTGTGTGCAAGAGGCAGCTGATTGATGACTCTCTCTCATCGATGTTTCTGACTTTCTATCTCTCTCCCTTCCTCTCTGTACAAAAATCAATAAAATATAAAAAAAAAAAAAAATAAAAAATAAAAAAAAAAATAAATAAAATAAAATAAAATATATATTTTATTGATTTTTTACAGAGAGGAAGAGAGAGGGATAGAGAGTTAGAAACATCGATGAGAGAGAATCATTGATCAGCTGCCTCTTGCACACCCCCTACTGGGGATGTGCCCACAACCAAGGTACATGCCCTTGACCGGAATCGAACCTGGGACCTTTCAGTCCGCAGGCAGACACTCTATCCACTGAGCCAAACCGGTTTTGGCTTAAAATATGTTTTTATTGATTTCAGAGAGGAAGGGAGAGGGAGAGAGAGAAAACATCCATGATGCCCTAGCCCAGCGATCACCAGCCAGTGGTCTGTGAGGTCCGAAAGGTTGGCGACCGAAAGTGGATAGAGCTCTGCCTGTGGCCTGAAGGGTCCCAGGTTCACGTCCAGCCAAGGGCATGTTCCTCAGCTGCATGCTCCTCCCTGGCCCGGGCCCTGATTAAGGCACGAGGAGGAGGCAACCAATCAATGTGTTCCTCTCACATGGATGTTTCTCTTTCTCTCTCTCTTCCACTCTCTCTAAAAAAAAATCAATGGAAAAAATATCCTTGGGTGAGGATTTAAAAATAACAACAATAAATAAATAAAACTTTATTTAAAAAAAAAAAAAGAAAGAAAGAAACATCAATGATGACAGAGAATCATTGATCGGCTGCCTCCTGTGCACTCCCCTACTGGGATTTGAGGCTTGTGCCCTGACGAGGAATCAAACCCAGGACCCTTTGGTCCATATGCCGATGCTCTACCCACTGAGCAAAACTGGCCAGGGCGAGAGCTGTTGTATTTCTGCACAGACAGCTCGGGAGGCCCACGAGAGGGGAAGCCAGGCCTCTCGCCTGCGTCTGAAGCTGGCTCTGTTTCTTTGTGTTTTAGGCAGCATTCCTTCCGACGATGCCCGAGGACATGCTGGCACAGGCCCGGCGCTGGCAGGGGTTGGAGACTGTCCGCTGGTATAGTACGTGTCACTGTCTGAACGGTCCTGTCATCTGCGCTCTGACGAGCTTCCTGGTGCCATGTGAGCCGCTCGCTGGCTGAGCAGGGGCCCATGTGGTCGGTGTCCCCAGGTCGCGCTGCTTGGGAGCAGGGGACTGGGAGCCATGTCCGAGGCTCAGCCACAACACAGCCCAGTGGCAGGTCTTAAGACAGTATTTTTAGAAAAATGAAACTGGGAGACAGAACAGTATAGCCCATGGCTTTATATAAAGTCTACGGGGCCCTGAGTAAATGACCCTTTTTATAAGTATTCTCTCTTTTACCGCATCCAGCGCGGCTAGAGGGCCGTCACAAATCCTGAGTAGGAGCGGCTGGGGATTGAGAAAATGAAAGAAAGAGACAGACACAGAGACAGAAGGGAAAAGCTGGGGCCGGGGGGGACAGCTGTCCCTCTGAGGGAGAGACAGTGATCCAGAGCCAGCACAGCACATTTATTTTATACAGTATGATACCAGGAAGTTTCACTGAAGTTTAAGATAAAGGAACTCATGTGAAATCCTGGTTAAAGATCAAGCTGTAATTCTTCATTCATGAGGCTTCTTTGTAATCATCACTTTTGGCTGGGCCCGGATAATTGCGTTCATTCCTGGTGCCTGGCTGAACTTAGATAATGAAACCCACCCCCTGGCGTCTGAGCTAAAGGTCAGGCTAACAACACACCTGCTTCTGGAAACGTATGTTTCCAGGGCATGGCTCTGCCAGACGCCACTGAATTCAGATGACAATCAGCTCAGGAGCCTTTTCCCAGGCACCCTATACACCTTTTATTTCTTTTTTTAAAAAATGTATGTTTATTGATTTCAGAGAGGAAGGGAGAGAGAGATAGAAATATCAGTGATGAGAGAATCATCAATCAGCCGCCTTCTGCACGCCCCACACTGGGGATGGAGCCTGCAACCTGGGCCTGTGCCCTGACCGGGAATCAAACATGACCTCCATGTTCATAGGTCAGCACTCAATCACTGGGCTGAGTGACTAATGCCTTCAAACTAGTTCCCAAGCTGGTGGAAAGCGTGCTCAGGGCCCAGAACCAGATCAGAGAGATCAGTGCGTGGAAAGCGCTGACCGCATGCCTCCCGAGCGGCCCTGGCTCAGCCGAGAGTCAGCATCCCCTGCTCTGGAGAATTCTGCTCCGCATGGCTCTCCCACACGCCCGCCTCCTGGGGGGGTCAGGCCAGGAGAAGGTTAGCCCTCCCGTGCACCACGTGCTTCCGCGGGAAACCTCGCCGGCCAACTCGGGCCCTGTTCTTCTTCCCACAGGGTGTCCCCGAGGCCATCTGTGCGCTGTCGGGGAGGTGAGACCGGGTGTTGGGACAGGTTTGGGGGGCTCAAAAGGCATGTCCCTTTGGGTCTGGGGGACATGGAGGAGGGGGGGGCATCTTGACCTCCCAGGGGAACTGACGCCTCTGAGGGTCGTCCCAGCCGCTCCCGAACACCCGCACGGAGCTGAGGAGGTCCAGCCGGGCTCCAGCTCGGCACCTTGTGCACGTCTTGAAGGGGGGGCCCGTCCTGGGCAGCATCCTTGGCCCCAGCTCCAGCTGCCAGGAGCACCCCGTCTCCTCAGTGCAGCACCCAGAGATGCCACGGTCCCTGGGAGATAGCATGGCTGTGGTTAGGAACCGCCACCAGCCACCTCCGTGGCCCCAGCGTGGGCTCAGGGACATGGGACGGTGAAGTGGTGACCGGCTCAGAAGCCGATTACTAGCGCAGAGCGGATAGACCGGCAGAGAGGGGCCTGGAGGGGGAGAGAGACACGTAGCTCTGAGCCCCACTGCTGAGCTGCCCCATCTGCACCGCCCCTCCCGTGACACCCGCACCCTGAGCTGACACCCCCTCTCCCCAGTGCGGCCGGCCCATGCAGCAGAGCGTCTGCATCGACTGCGGCGCGCCCGTAGGAGGGCAGAACCACAGGTCCATCACAGGGTTCACGGACGCCCAGTACGTAAGGCTGTTCCTTCTCTACTCACCCCCCTCCCCCGCCGAGGGCTGTTTCTCTCCCACCCGATAAGCTGACCCTCAACGTGGAACGTGGGTCAGTGCCCGGGTGGGCTCAGGCCATGGGCCTGTGGTCATGCCACGTGGACGTGCCAGAGCTGCCATTGGCCACAAACCATCAGAATGTCCTAGAACCGTGGTCGGCAAAGTGCGGCTCTCGTGTCACATGTGGCTCTCTGGCCCCTTGAGTGTGGCTCTTCCACAAAACCACGGCCTGGGCGAGTCTATTTTGAAGAAGTTAGAAGAAGTTTAAGTTTAAAAAATTTGGCTCTCAAAAGAAATTTCAATCGTTGTGCTGTTGATATTTGGCTCTGTTGACCAATGAGTTTGCCGACCACTATCCTAGAATGACCAACAGGCATTCATAGGAATGAGTATTATTATGTGTCCCTCAAAAATGCATACACACTTTGAATAATTTCTTAATATACATTTACTGATTTCAGAGAGGAAGGGAGAAGGAGAGAGAGAGTTATCAGTGATGAGTGAGAATCATGGATCGGCTGCCTCCTGCACGCCCTCTAGTGGAGACCACGCCCACAACGTGAGCAGGAATGGAACGGTGACCTCCTGGGTCATAGGTCAATGCCCACTTTGAGTAAATTTTCATTCCAGTGGGTCAAATCTGAAAAGAAACACCGCCCGGGCTCCCGCTGGGAAAGCATGCGTATGTTTTGTGGGGACACCCTGTGTTTTGGCACCTTCCCTCACGCCGCACCTGCGCCCTGGGCATGGCCCAGCTCCTCCGCCCGCCCTTGGTCGCAGGCGTTGACTGGGGAAAAGGAGGCCACTGTGCCACGTCCCGGGCCCAGGTCGGCTGTCCTGGAGGCTGGCTGTCCTGAGCCTTCTGACCCCCGTGATTGCAGCGGGAGAAGCAGGTCCGGCCGGCCTGACTCGTGGCCCAGGGGACGGCACTGAATGCCGCTCCCTTCAGCCACTTTTCCCAGAGAAGGCTGCCGGTCCCGGTCACCTGGAGGGTGGTTCTAGGAAGAGAGAAACTCTGGCCCGGCTGGTGTGGCCCGGTCCCCAGTGGGAGCTGTGCAGGAGGCAGCCGATCCATGATTCCCTCGCATTGCCTTTCTATCTCTCTCTCCCTCTCCTTTCCTCTCTGAAATCAATAAAAATATATTTAAACAAAAAAAGAAATGAAGAAAAAAAAGACTTTTAGGAAGATCGCCCAGGTTCTGAAGAAAAAAGTGCTTTTAATGTTATTTTCTCCCCAAACGGGAGCCTGGCTTTAGGGCCCCCGGGACCTGGGTGCCCCCATCTGCGAAGAGATGACCTTTGCCCTCATCTGGCCTCTTCTGCTCTTTCCAGAAACGATGTGGACAGAACTCAGACTGGCCACGTGCTGGGAAGCCCGGCCACCGGGGAAGAGGCGGTGGCCTCTGACCGAGAGCTGGCCCCCGCGGCCTTCCTTCTCGCCCGGCTCCTCACTCACCTGGCGATGCTCTGGGGAGCGGCCCACAGCCCCCAGGTACGTGCAGGGCTGCCCGGCTCTGAGCTGTCGTGGGCGTGGGGCCAGCTGTCTCCCAGGGCCCGCCCCCTGTGGGTTCAGATTTGTCTTCCCACCGAGTCCCCCAGGTGACATGGAGTTTACCCCTCGCTCCCCTCCCCACGGCGCCTGGCAGGATGGCGGAGTGCCCACCAGCCTTTATCTGGTCCGTTTTAGTTTTTTACATTTTATTGGTTTGAGGGAGGGGGAGAGACATCACTGACCAGAGAGAATCCTGGAGCGGCCACTTCCTGCACGCCTGCCCCTCCCTCCCCCCATGGGAATGGAGCCCTCAACCTGGGCACGTGCCCTGACCAGGAATCAAACCCTGACCTCCTGGTTCATAGGTCGACACTCAACCACTGAGCCACCCTGGCCGGGCTGCCAGGTCCATTTTCAATGCCCGACTCCGTGCACATCTGGGCGTGGAGAGGCCGCCGCACTCACCCGCCCTCCCATGTCAGGGCCGTGGCTCTGGGGCAGAGCAGCCTTCCCTCGGCGTTCCCGAGCCCCGAGAGCAGAGACGGTCTCTGGGCTCCCGGGAGCCCTGTTTCCCTCCCGCTGTCCCGAGGCCCCAGGGCTCCTCCGCCCCGCCGCTGCCTCTGCGGTGAGAGCGCCCCCCGGCCTCCGCACACGCCGTCTGACTCCCTGTCCCTCCGCCAGGAGCTGACCCTCCTCGTCAAGCCCGCGGTGAGGGACCCGGGCGCCTTCCTGCAGCAGCACCTCCAGCGGGACCTGCGGCAGCTGATGCGGACGCTGGGCAAGAGCGCGGACGACACGGTGCAGGTGGTGCACCTGGTGCTGTGCGTCCTGCTCAGGGAGCAGCACCCCCTCTCTGGCCAGGGTAAGGGCCGGGTGAGGGGGGCACAGCCGCAGAGCTTGGGGCCTGGGAGACAGACGGGTGGCGATGGGTGCGGCGCCCCAGCTGGCAGCGGGCCGTGTGCCTGCCCCTTGTCCCTTCCAAGCTCCCCGCTGGGTGCGCAGAGGTGGGCGGGGCGGCTTTGCCGGCTCCAGTGTCAGAGGTTGGAGCATCTTCACAGAGAACGTGGGGACGGGGTAGCAGGAGACATGTTTAAATATACTTTCGTTGATGTGAGAGAGGAATGGGGAGGGAGAGAGAGAAACATCCATGCTGAGAGAGGATCATGGACCGGCTGCCTCCTGCACGCCCCACACTGGGGATGGAGCCCGCAGCCCGGGCCCGGGCCCGGGCCCTGACCGGAATGGGCCCGTGTTTAAATCCTCGGGTTGGCTCAGAAGAAGATGCCCCTCCCGTCCCCCCAGAGGGCGAGGCTCGGTGGACGCTGGCGCGCTCACCGGGGACGGCTGTGCTGGTGCCTTCTCGTAGGGTCTTTCAGCTTCAACGCCACCTTGTCGACCAAAGAGCAGAGGAACTCGTGGGAGAAGCTGCTCCAGGCCCTCGTGCTGCCTGAGCTGGAGGTGAGGGGCAGCAGCCGCCTGGGGGTGGGGAGGGTCATCCTGAGCCGCTGGGGCTCGGCCCACGCGCCTCAGCAAAGGCACCGGAGCCCTGGGCCCACCTCGGACCCAGCCGTACCCGCCCAGGCCACCCTGCCCGCTGTCCTGACCGCTAGTGCGGCAGGCGGAGGAGCGGCTGGAGCCCAGGTTCCCCTCTGTTACATTTCCCGGCAGATGGTGGAGCGACAGGCCCACACACAGACCCACCCCGTTTCCCGTGGCCGTAGCCAGCTGCCCCTCAGTCAGACCCGGAAGCAGCAGAGCCCGTCAGGGAATGAGCATCAGCAAGGAGCAGGGCGGGAGGGAGATGCAGGCCTGACCCTCGTGCCATTGGGAGCCGTGGCCCTACAGAACCAGTGTGAAAGCCAGCAACGTGGCTAGTTGGTGAGGTGTAAAGTGAGAGAGTCGGCCCTGGCCGGTGTGGCTCAGTGGATAGAGCGTCAGCTCTGGATTGAAGGGTCCCAGATTCCATTCCGGTCCAGGGCCCGGACCTCAGGTGCAGGCTTGATTCCGGGCCCCGGCCCAGGCCATGCCGGAGGCAACCAATCGATGTGTCTCTCTCACATCAACGTTTCCCTTCCCCCCACTTTCAATGGAAAAACTGAAAACACACCCTCCGGTGAGGATTCCCGAGCAAGCAAATAAGTATAATGAGCAGACGCCCTGGTCCCTGGGCCCCAGCCCCCGGTGGCCCTCACGCCCAGCGCCTGTCCTGCCCGCAGCGTCTGGACAAAACCCTCCTGGAGGTGAACGGGCTCATCAGCCGGGACGAGCGCATCAGCTCCAACCCGGTGGCCAGGATCGTGCTGGGGGACCCGGCGGCCTTCCTGCGCCGCCTGCCCCGGGCCAGCGCGCTGCACTGCTCCCGGACCTGGAGCTGCCGCGCCCGGCTCACCGTGGAGCACCTGCGGCACGTGGTGGAGCAGAAGAACGGCCGGGAGGGCGTGCCGGTGCTCTGGAGGTTCCTGCAGAAGGTGCGCCTGGCGGGCGCCCCGGGCCCTCGCCCCGGCCTGCCGGGCCCGCCTGCCCGTCCCTGGGGGGCCGTGGGCACCTGCTTCCCGGCGGGTCCCGGCCCCCTGCCTGCAGCTCAGGATGCTGGGGGGGTGTCTGTGAAACAGTTGTATCTCTCACATCGAGGGGCTTTTCTCCCCGTCTCCTCACCCCCGCCTTCCTCTCTCTCTAAAACTCAGTGAAGCCTGGTCGGCAGGCTCAGGTTGAACATCGACCTGTGAACCAGGAGGTCAGGGCACATGGTGGGCTTCGATCCCAGAGTGGGGCCGACAGGAGGCAGCCCATCAGTGGTTCTTTCTCATCATTGATGTTTCTCTCTCTCTCTCTCTCTCTCTCTCTCTCTCTCTCTCCCTCCCTCCCTCCCTCCCTCCCTCCCTCCCTCTTTCTTCCTTTCTGAAACCAATAAAAATATGTTTAAGAATTAAAAAATAAAAACCAATGGAACAATGCCCTCCTGTGAGATTAACAACAACCAAAGCAGGTTGGCCAGAGGGAGACACAAACACTGGCCCTGAGTCAGCACCTCCCCTGCAGCCCCGCCCCCGAGGCCCCGCCCCCGCGGTACTTTCTGGGCAGGCGAGAGATTGACAGACCAACCCGGCCTTCCCTCCCCAGGAGGCAGAGCTGAGACTCGTGAAGTTCTTGCCTGAGATTCTGGCCCTGCAGAGGGATCTGGTGAAATGGTTCCAGAATGTTCCGGAAGCTGAGTTCCAGTCCATCCGAGGCTTCATTGACAGCCACGACTCAGGTAGGACTCGGCCGTCGCAGGAGGTCAGGATGCCTGTTTGGTGGCTCGAGGGTCACTCCAGCTGGGGGCAGGGAGGGCGGGCAGCTCAGGGCCACTGGGCGCTGTTCACGCGAGGACGGGGCTGCCATGAGCCCGGGACACCATGGAGGCTTGGCGGCAGCCTCGCTCAGCCCACGGCACTCGGCTGGGGTGCTCCCACGGCGCTTGGGCTACGTTGGGCTGCGGTGTGCGGGGAGCACAGCCAGCGGGTCTGACCTGCACGGGCTGTTCGGCAGGGGGTCTGAAGCAGCTGCTCCTCAGCCGGGTCACACTGTTTCTGTCCACGTGGAACAAGCTGAGGAGGTCGCTGGAGACCCAGGGTGAGTCCGCGCTCCGCTTCTATACGCGTAACAGCCTGAGCAACCGAATGACCGGCCGCTATGATGCACGCTGACCACCGGGGGGCAAACGCTCAATGCAGGAGCTGCCCCTGGTGGTCCCTGTGCTCCTGTGGGAGCCTCGCTCAGCTGACCAACGTACGGGTGCCAGACGCAGGGCTCACGGCTGGCCAGCGCCGTTGCTGCGGCCGTGCGAGCCTCTCGCAATCGGGCTGACTGGGCGCAAGCCCGCGGCGGGCGCAGCAGGGCTGGGTGAGCGGAGTGGCAGGCGGCAGTGGGCTGCCAGTTTCAGCTCGATCCCTGCGGGCCACGCTGAGCCTCCAGGAAATAAAATAAAACCCACGCTGGGTCCTCTTGGGTCTGTCCAGGTGAAACAAGGGTGCTGGGGCCCCCGGGGCAGGCGGCACCTGGGGCACGGGGGAGAGGCTGGGGCAGTCTGCAGCTGGGCGTCTGCGCTGCGGCCCGCGGGCCGGCCAGATGCCCTGTGGGAAGCAGCTGGAGCGGCTGCCGGAGAACAGCCCTGTCCTTAAAGGCGAGATCAAGCTGCCCGCAGACTACTGCCGCGCCGACCTGGACCTGGACTCGGACTTCGAGGTCATCCTGCCACGCCGCCAGGGCCTGGGCCTCTGCGCCACCGCCCTGGTCAGCTACCTGATCGGCCTGCACAACGACATGGTCTCCGCGGTGCAGCGGCTCTCCAAGGAGGAGCCCAGGTGAGGCCCTCTGGGCCCGGGAGGCGGCGCGGCCGGGCACCGCAGGCCCGTGTGCCGTGTCCCCCGCTCGCCGGCCCGCGCCCTGGGCCGGTGCTGACCGCCGAGGCCGCGTTCCCTCCGCAGCTACTCCGTGGACGCCTCCGAGGTGGCCGACCTGCACGTCGTCAGCTACGAGGCGGAGCGGGACCTGATGCCGCTGATCCTCGCCAACTGCCAGTACCAGGTAGCGCAGGGCGGCGAGAGCCTGCAGGAGCTGGACCTGGAGCGGATCCAGCGCCAGGTCACCGGCCGCTTCCTCCAGGGCAAACCCCGGCTCACCCTCCGGGGCCTGCCTACGCTGGTGTACCGGCGCGACTGGAACTACGAGCACCTCTTCGCCGCCATCAGGAGCCGGGTGCCCCAGGTGAGCCCGCCGCCGCCCTCTGTCCCGGCTCCCCTGCCCTGGCCTCCCGCGCTCCTACTGGGGGCCGGCCGGCCGGGCCGTGCCCTGGTGTCACCGCCATGTGCGCCTGCGGGAGGCCAGAGAGCCGTGTGTGGCGTGTGTGTGGAGTATGTGTGCATGTGTGTGCACGTGAGGAGTGAGTATGCCTGTGGCATGTGCATGTTGAGTGTGAGTGGCACGTACATGGCATGTGCGTATCGGCTGCATTGTGTGGGCGTGCTGTGTATGCATGTGTGGCGTGTGCATGGGTCCGTGTGCACATGCTCACAGTGGCTCTGAGGGTCCGGTGAGCCCCACCTGTGTCTGGGAAACAGCCGATCCTGAGGAGCACGGGTCTCAGCGCTGCCCCCGGGCGGCGACCTTGGCGTGAAGGTCAGCTGTCTCACCCCGAGCTGCTTCCCATTTCCAGAGCCCCCTGCCCCACGCGGCCGCCAGCGCCCTGGGCGGGCAGCTGCAGTCCTACAGCGACGCCTGCGAAGCTCTGTCCCTCGTGGAAGTCACACTGGGGTTTCTGAGCACGGCAGGCGAGGACCCGGACATGGACCTGACCTTGTACCTGCAGGACAAGCTGCGCATGGGCGACCAGACCGAGCAGGTGGCCAAGGTGGGTGTGAGCACACGGAGCGGGTGCTGGAGGGGGTGTGAGCACACGGAGCGGGTGCTGGAGGGGGTGTGAGCACACGGAGCGGGTGCTGGAGGGGGTGTGAGCACACGGAGCGGGTGGTGGGGGTGTGAGCGGGTGGTGGGGGTGTGAGCGGGTGGTGGGGGTGTGAGCGGAGGCGCGGGTGGTGGGGGTGTGAGCGGGTGGTGGGGGTGTGAGCGGGTAGTGAGGGTGTGAGCAGAAGAGCGGGTGGTGGGGGTGTGAGCGGGTGGTGGGGGTGTGAGCGGAGGCGCGGGTGGTGGGGGTGTGAGTACATGGAGCGGGTGCTAGAGGGGGTGTGAGCGGGTGGTGGGGGTGTGAGCAGAAGAGCGGGTGGTGGGGGTGTGAGCGGGTGGTGGGGGTGTGAGCAGAAGAGCGGGTGGTGGGGGTGTGAGCAGGTGGTGGGGGTGTGAGCAGAAGAGCGGGTGGTGGGGGTGTGAGCGGAGGCGCGGGTGGTGGGGGTGTGAGCGGGTGGTGAGGGTGTGAGCAGAAGAGCGGGTGGTGGGGGTGTGAGCGGGTGGTGAGGGTGTAAGCAGAAGAGCGGGTGGTGGGGGTGTGAGCGGGTGGTGGGGGTGTGAGCGGAGGCGCGGGTGGTGGGGGTGTGAGCAGAAGAGCGGGTGGGGGTGTGAGCGGAAAGGCAGGACTGGAGGAAAGCCAGATGCGCTCTGAGTGCCCCATCCTGAACCCCCTCCTCCCAGGCCCTGCACCTGCACCCATGTCGGCTCCGCCACGTCATCGCGCTCTGGCAGCTTCTCTCTGCACACAAGTCTGAACATCTGTTGCGCCTGCAGAAGGTAAGTCCGTCTCCTAACCCTGCGGCTCCCTTCCTCTCCCCGCCCCAGCCTCCTTCCTCCCTGGTCTCCTTCCTCCCCAACCTCCTCCCCGGCCTCCTCCCTCTCCATCCTCCCTCCCTGGCCTCCTCCCTCTCCATCCTCCTCCCCGGCCTCCTCCCTCTCCATCCTCCTCTCCGGCCTCCTCCCTCTCCATCCTCCTCTCCGGCCTCCTCCCTCTCCATCCTCCTCCCTCCCCGGCTTCCTCCCTCCCCGGCCTCCCCCCTCCCCGGCCTCCTCCCTCTCCATCCTCCTCCCTCCCCGGCCTCCTCCCTCCCTGGCTTCCCCCCTCCCCAGCCTCCCCCCTCCCTGGCCTCCTCCCTCCCCATCCTCCTCCCCGGCCTCCCCCCTCACCAGCCTCCCCCCTCACCAGCCTCCTCCCTCTCCATCCTCCTCCCCGGCCTCCCCCTTCCCCAGCCTCCCCCCTCGCCAGCCTCCTCCCTCTCCATCCTCCTCCCTCCCCGGCCTCCTCCCTCTCCATCCTCCTTCCTCCCCGGCCTCCCCCCTCCCCGGCCTCCTCCCTCCCCATCCTCCTCCCTCCCCGGCCTCCTCCCTCCCCATCCTCCTCCCTCCCCGGCCTCCTCCCTCCCTGGCCTCCTTCCTCCCCATCCTCCTCCCTGGCCTCCCCTGAGCGTCCTTGGCTGCAGGAGCCCTTCAGGGAGATCAGCGCCAAGTACCAGGAGCGGCTCAGCCCGGGAAGCGCCAAGCACCTGCACGCGTTCCTGAACCAGAGCTCCCTGGACGTCTTCCTCCTGGAGCTGCACGAGATGATCCTGCTGAAGCTGAAGAACCCCCACACCGAGGCCGACTTCAGGCCCGACTGGAGGTAGGCGCAGCTCCTGCAGCCGGGTGCTGCCCGCTTCCCCGCGGGCGCTGGGGTGCAGGCCCGCAGAGTCCTTGGTCTGGCCCTGCCAGGCGCTGGGAGTTGATGAAGCTGTGAAGTGGCTAACCCCCCTGGCCGCGGCGATGGCATTGTTACCCATGGCCCCGGGGGGCTCCCACCTGCTCTGCTGGGTCTTTTCAAAGTCACCGAGCCGGGTACCGAGCCGACCGACGTCAGCCCTCCTGCCATCTGTCTGCTGCTCTGTTCCCTTCCTCTGCTTCCCTGACGGATTCGATTTGAGAATTTGTCTTTACTGTTGAAAATATTGCAGATGTCCCTGTTCCCATGGAGCCCGTTAGCCACCGCCCCGCACTCTGACTCTCATTTCCTGTCGTGTGTGGGTAGACCTGTGTGCACTGGTATCTGTGAAGTTTTAAAAATTCTCAACTGAGGGTATTTGTTGATTTTATTTATTTATTTATTTATTTATTTATTTATTTATTTATTTATTTTAGAGAGAGAGGGAGGGAGGGAGAAGGAGGGAGATGAGAGAAACATCAATCGGTTGCCTCTCTACACACCCACAGCCTGGATATGTGCCCTGACTGGGGATCGAACCCGACCTTCCGGCACCTGGGACGATGCTCCGAGCCACTGACACATACGGCCAGGGCCATGCCGGATTTTTAAAAAATTATTATTATTTTTAAATTTCTTTATTGATTATCAAAATTTGTCTGAATCCCCCATTCCCATCCCAAACCCCTCCCCATATATACCCCTACCCTCCTGTTGTCTATGGCCACTGGTTAGGCCCATATGCATGCACACAAGTCCTTTAGTTGATCACTCTTCCTTTTCCCCATCCTCCCTCCCCCTCCCTCTGAGGTCTGACAGTCTGATGTTGGATTTCTGGACTTGGTGTAGAGACAGGAGCCCGCTCCTGGGCCCCACGATGCTTTTTCACACGACGCAGGCTCTGCTTTCTGTATGGCAGATCACGTCACACACGTGGCACACACGTGGAAGGCCGGCACACTAGAACCTCAGGCCGGGCTCCCGGTTCCCACAGACCCACTCGCCAAGGGTGGCCTGTGGCTGACCCCCACTTCCTGGTTGCAGAAGCTCTGGTTCTGCCAGTGGCCAAGAGGGGGGCTGCGGATGGAGGAGACCGATGATGGAGGGTCTGAGGGTGTCTGCAGTCTGTTCTCAGTGCCGCTCTGTCCCTTGGTCTTCCAGCCTGAGAGACACTCTAGTCAGTTACATGGAGACGAAAGAAGGTGACATTCCCCCCGAGATGGAGGGTCAGTTCCCGGAGGAGATACTGCTCTGCCACTGCGTCTCTGCATGGAAAACGGCGGCTGTGCTGAAGCGGGCCCGACAGACAAGATAGAGCAGCTCCTTCCGCAAAGCTACTCCCCCACAGAGCCGCTCCCTCACAGAGCCGCTCCCCCGCAGAGCCGCTCCCCCGGGGACTGCAGCGTGTGCTCCGCGCTCTCTGGTGGTGACACGGGTCCAGGAGGTGGAAACCAACCAGGCCACAGCGCTCACGGTCCAGGGAAGCGGATGGGAGCCATCGTCTCAGGTCACGTGGTAGGGGGCAGGGCACAATTTTCCTTTTATTTCTTGTAACGTGTTCTGCTCTCACGGAAGAGTCGGCGTCCTCCCCCTCCCTCCCTGCACACTCCCAGGCCGTCCTGGGAGTCACGGACCTTGGAGCCCAACCAGTAGGACCTGGCGTGGCCTGACCGCCCCCGGGTCGCAGCCCTGGACTCGGTGCCCACACTCTCAGGGGCTCCGTGTCCTCATCCATCCGTCCGAGGAAGGAGCGGACCTGGGCTTTGAAACTGGGAATGCACGGTGTCCATGCAGCGTGGCTCCGGCTGCAGCCCGGCACTGCTAGGGGAGCACTACCTCGGTCCCTGCGGTCTCAGCCGAGGCATAAGCAGACTCAGGAAGGACACGAGGCCATGAAGTTTCCAGAAAAGAGCCCGAGGACTCTGGTCCCTGCCCTGCCCTCATCCTGCTGTCACTGAAAGTGAGGTGCCAGGGGCCTCAGGACTACTTCCCACTCCAGGGGGCCTGGCACCCACGGCCACAGCCACGGCCATAGCCATGGACAACTCAGGGAAAGACCTTTGTGCACATTCCAGGAGCAAGGGAGGCACCAGCTCGCAGGCGGGCCCGTGGGGATGAGAGCCACATGGCAAGAGCCGGCTCCGCCCTCGGCCCCTACCTGGCTGCAGGTGCCCCGCGTGGCCACTCCGGTGCTTGGTGAGCGGGCAGTGACCCAGCCGCCCTCCTCTGCCCGCACTCGGCCCTCGGATCCTGCAAAGGCCCCCCATGCCGTCCGCACCCAGGGGTGGGACCACTTCAGTCAGGGAAGGGTGTTCCTTGCACTAGCAGCTCCTGGATCCCCCAGGCCTGGGGTGACGCCGCCATGGTGGTCATCGGCGCCACGCAGGAGCCGAAGGCCCTTCCTCCTCTGGGGGCTGGGGAGGGCTTTCCCCCACTTTTATGAAGGGTTTTATTAAGACTTTGTACGCTATGCTTTCAAAGCCTTAACTGCCATTGCCCAGCCCTGACTGGTTTGCCTCTGGCCCAGCACACACAAATGCAAGTTTTGTTACAGCGGTTCCACCTGTTTAATAAACGTGGGTTTGGATCAAGCCAGAGAGTCCCCTGAGGGGCAGGCCCTGCCTTCGGCCGGGCGCCGTCCACTCGCTGGGGGCGGGCTCTGCTCGCTCTAGAGCTGCCCATCCCGGGGAAACGGAGCCCGGCTCAGAGCACGAGGGTGAACCCCTCCTCGGGCAGGACGGCAGGGGCTACGCTGCCCCGAAGCAGGAGCCTGGGCCTCAGGTGCCCTCCATCCCTGGCCTGGGCAGGAGTCCGGCTCGCAAAGGACTGTGCCCTCCCCTGGGAACGTCCCCACAGACACTGGGACTGAAGCCAAGGCGCCTGCCTGTGAATGCAGGTGCCCGCCACGGCGTTCAGGGCGAGTTGGCACCAGAAACAGCAGAGGTGGGCGGTGCTGTGGCTCCCCGTGCGGGAGGGAGGGCTGCAGCAGCCTGGGCGCCAGGGGAGGGTGCAGGGCCCAGGATGTCTGAGCAGCGGGTGGGTTCTTGCCCTGGCCTGTGGCTCAGTGGTTAGAACCTCCTGCCGGAATCAAGGGCTCCACCCTGGGAGGCGCTTGTGGGAAGCAACCAATCCATGTCTCCTCCCCGCCCCACTCTTTCTAACAAGTCAATGGGAAAGAGCCACCGGTGAGATTAAAAAACAAACATACCGCCGAAACCGGTTTGGCTCAGTGGCAGAGCGTCAGTCTGCGGACTGAAAGGTCCCAGGTTCGATTCCGGTCAAGGGCAAGTACGTTGGTTGCGGGCACATCCCCAGTAGGGGGTGTGCAAGAGGCAGCTGGTCGATGTTTCTCTCTTTCATCGACGTTTCTAGCTCTCTATCTCTCTCCCTTCCTCTCTGTAAAAAATCAATAAAATATATTTAAAAAAAACAAAAACATACGGCCCCTTCACCACTCCTCGCCTGCCCCCCCCCCTTTGTAAATGAAAGTCTACGCTTCCTGCTGTCCCTGGCGGCCAGCGCCGGTCTCTCCGATGCATCTGTGGGTCCGTGTGACGTTCCCGCCGGCCCGAGCCCCACGGCCTCCTCCCTCCGCTGGGCGGGGCAGGGCGGTCCACGCGAGGCCGGCGCCCCGTGCGCCCTCCAGCCACCAGGCGGCGCCGTCCGCTGAGCCCGCCCCAGGCGGCCCCGAGCGCCTCCACAGGAAACCGGAAGTGACGCACGCGGAAGGGCCGTCGGGCTGTGCCATGGCCCAGGAAGCGATTGGGCCGCCGCCCGAGGAAACCCTGTCGCTCTGGAAACGGTAATGAAGCCGGGGAACGAGCAAGACCTTCGGGCTGAAGCGATGCCGCCCCCCGCGGCCCCGCCAACCTCGGGGTCCCCGGCGTTGGGGCGACGGGTCACCGGCCGGCTTCGGGAGCGGGACCCAAGGGCCTTGGGGAGCTGAGGGGGCGGGAGGGGGCGGGGCGGCCGGAGGGGCGGGGCACCAGGGGCGGGGGAAGTGGAGAGGGCGGGGCAAACGGAGAGGGCGGGGCACCAGGGGGCGAGGTAGCCTCGGGCGGGGCGGCCGGAGGGGCGTGTGGGCGGGGCATCGGGGGCGGGGCGGCCGGAGGGGCGGGGCATCAGGAGCGGGGGAAGTGGAGAGGGCGGGGCACCAGGGGGCGAGGTAGTCTCGGGCGGGGCGGCCGGAGGGGCGTGTGGGCGGGGCATCGGGGCGGGGCGGCCGGAGGGGCGGGGCCCGGCTGCCCGCTGCACGGGGTCCGCCCTCAGGGAGCAAGCCCGGCTGAAGGCCCGCGTGGTGGACCAGGACACCGAGGCGTGGCAGCGGGACCCCGCCTTCGCGGGGCTGCAGAGGGTCGGGGGCGTGGACGTGTCCTTCGTGAAGGGCGACAGTGTCAGAGCCTGCGCCTCTCTCGTGGTGCTCAGCTACCCTGAGCTGGAGGTAACGGTGGGGCTGGGGCAGGCGGCGCTGGCCAGGCGGCCCCGCCGGGCTCGGGGACGGGGAACGCGGTGTTTTGTGGATTTCGTTAGTAGGTTGGGGGGTCTGCGACAAAAACGAGGAGACATCTTAGGCTCCCCGTCTCAGTGACCTGCAGGGACACCTCCAAGTTCCCAGACCACTCCCCTCCGTCACAGACTGGCTCCATTTAAAAACATATATTTTTGTTGATTTCAAAGAGCCGGGGAGAGGGAGAGGTCGAAACAGCAATGATGAGAATCTGATCGGCTGCCTCCTGTGCACCCCAACTAGAGATCAAGCCCGCCACCTGAGCACGTGCCCTGGGCGGGAATCGAACCGTGACCTCCTGGTTCATAGGTTGGCACTCAACTACTGAGCCGGGCCACCCGCTCCATTCCCAGCATTGCTTCCTGCATCCTACCCGGGGCTGGCCCCAGTCCCCGTGTCCATCCCCACCGCGCCGCAGCCGCCCCTCCTGCCGGTGAACGCAGGGTCTTCGCTGGGCCCGTGCTGCCAGCAGAGCTGTTTCCTAAAAAGCAAGTGTGGTCACGGCACACGTGAGACTCTGCCGGAGCCTCCGTGCCAACAAGGCCCACGCTTGCTGACACGGGCGAAGGCCCCTCACTGTCTGACCTCAGCTCAGCCATTCCCTCCCCGCCCCCTCCGAGGGCTTTGGACTCCACAGGCGGACCCCGCTGCCCGCTGCCTGCCCTTCGCTGCGACGCTTCCTGTCCGGGAACATCCTCCCCCTCTCTGAGGTTCTCTGGTGACACCCCTCATCCTGCAAGACCAGGAGCTGCTCCCAGCACACTCACTCACACTCACTCTCCCCCCCCCCTCTCTCTCCCTCGCACTGGAATGGGATTAGCCTGTCTCCCCTACCGTGGGGTCCTGTCCACCAGCCACGGCCTGGGCACCGAGCTCCCGGCCTGGTGGAGGGAAGACGGGAGTGGCTGGGGAAGGAGGGGATGAGCCGAGTATCTGCAGGCCCAGCTCAGGGAGCCGTGGCTAAGGAAGAGTGAGGGGAGGGCTTCCCTCCCTGCCCTCCGCCTCCCGCAGGCCGCGCCCTCCCGCCTCAATCGGAACCCGGAGGAGTGCCCGCACCTGCTGTGCTGAGGGTGGGCAGCGGCCAAGGCTGCCCTCAGAGCCCTGGTCAGTGTGGAGCTTGGCCTGGGGGAAGGGCACGGGCTGCCTGCTTCCCACCTGGCTCTGCCCCGCCCCTTCACCCCAGGCTCCGCCCCCTCTTTCCTCCTGTGGACGGAGAGCACCGGCACCCCGAGCGGAGCTGAGCCGAGGCCATGTGCCCGGAGCAGCCGGCCAGCCGCAGGCCCACAGGCCCGCCATAGACGCTCAGCCCTAGGGATTCTGGCTTCCCCAGACCCGGTCCCCTGTTCCCAGGGCCATGCCTGTCCCTCGCTGCCGTCACCCCATCTCCGTCGGCTGGATCTCGGGCCACGCTGGGCAGCTGTCCTCGGTGATGGGTTACCGGCCCCGCCTACATGTGTCTCCACCCAGCGCGTGCACAGGGCCTGCTGCTGCCCGCAGCCAGCTGCCTGTGGGCTCAGGCTAGCTGAGGGTCTTGGGAAAGTGGCCCGTGGCCCCCAACGCAGGCGAGATCTGCAGCCTCCGTGGGCAAATCCACAGGCCAAGGGCCGTGGTTGCCGGGGCCGGTGTGGGGCGGAGGGGCAGTGACGGCTGACCGGGCAGGTTTATTGGAGCCTGGAGGACATGCAGGCCCTCATCGCCGGTGCAGGGTCCCTGTGCCGGGAGCAGGCCCCGCGCCGTGCTGACCAGGAGTGACGGGCTGTGTGCTGTCCATCGGGAGCCCTGACTGCCGGCCTGCCCCAGACCCTGTCCCCACTCCTCCCACCTGCCCCGTCCCCTGAGCCTCCCCATCGGCCTGGGCTCCGGCTCACAGGTCGACTCCCCAGCCCACCCACAGGGCGCTCCCCTGTCCTTTCTCTCGCTCGCCTCCCGGACAGTGAGGCAGGGAGGGGGGGGGGGAGGGCTGCAGAGGAGGGAGGGATCCCCAGACGAAGGCAGCGCCGTGTCCCGTCTCCCCACCCGGCGGCCACACTGGCTCCGCACAGGTGCTGTATGAGGACAGTCGCCTGGTCCACCTGACGGCCCCCTACCTGCCGGGCTTCCTGGCCTTCCGGGAGGTGCCCTTCCTGGTGGACGCCGTGCGGCGGCTGCGGGAGGAGGAGCCCAGCCTCGCGCCCCAGGCAGGTGCCCGGGGCCCCGCCTGCGGGGGGCGGCCTGGCGCTTCCTGGAGGAGGCGCCCTGCCCGAGGGCGGGGAGAGGACCTCAAAGCCTGGGCCTCCTGCCCCAGACCGCCCGGCCTGGCAGCACCACTGACCGCCCTTCCCCGTGGCTCTTCCAGGTCCTCCTGGTGGATGGAAACGGGGTGCTCCACCCCCGAGGTGACCCTGCCCCCGAGAGGTGGCGGGAGGGCTGAGGGCTCAGGTCGCCTGCGTCACCCACTGGGCGCTGGCAACTCCTCTGTCTCTTGTTGGGACCCGCCAGAAAGTCCCTTCTCTTCACCCCACCCGCCTGCCCCACGGCCATCAGGAGCCGCGGCCGAGCTCAGCCGCCTGTCCCCCTGGTGGCCGCCTGCAGCCTGAGGTCCCGGCGCTGAACCGGGCAGCGTGCCCCCCAGACGCTGGGACTCGGCTCGGAGAGCGGGGCCGGGCTGCTTCACCCTCAGATAGGAAGTGGGGGGGTCGGGCGGCAGAGGGGGGGCACACCACCCTGGAGGCCAGCGCGGGACCCTCGGGCCACCTGGCAAGGGCCCCGTTGTCAGGGGAACCGGGGGCAGAGACCCAGAGGCTGAGGTGGCCACAGCGGGGAGGAAGGGGGCGGGGCCACGGGTCAGCCGGGGCCTGGAGTCTCGTCCTGAGGCCCCTGCCGCCCCCCCCCCCAGGCTTCGGGGTGGCCTGCCACCTGGGCGTCCTCACGGACCTGCCCTGCGTCGGGGTGGCCAAGAAGCTGCTGCAGGTGGACGGGCTGGAGAAGGACGCTCTGCACCGGGACCAGGTGTGGCCCCCCCCCCCCCCCCCCGGCAGCCCAGCCTGGGCCGCTCGGCCTCCTGGGTCCCTGCCGAGGCCCAGGAGCGCCGCTGTGGCCCCCGTCTCCCTGTGGGTGCGGGGGCCTCGCAGCCCCCTGCCCCTAAGGGGCCCATGTGGGCTGGGGCCTCTGGCTCTTGGGCCCTGCCCTGCACGCTCCCCTCCCGGCTCTCCTTGCTCTGCCCTGGGCAGCACCAGGACGGGGAGGGGGAGGGGGCTGGGGGACGAGACAGCGGGCGGCACTGGCTCTCCCCCTGGGAGGCGCCGGAGGACGGCACACGTCTCGCTGGGGCAGCCCTGCGTCTGTGTGGGGCCGTGGGCAGGGACCCCCCTTCCAGGGGCCTCCCACTGCCCCCAGAACCGTCCCTTGGGTAGAAGCAGATGTGCCAGGCTCCTAGCAGGAGCGAGCGCACAGGAAGTGAGGGCCATGGCAGGAGCAGCCTCCTTCGCCCTGAGCCGGGAGGGCCGCCCAGGGCGCGCAGTGCTGGGGCCCTCGCCGGCAGGGTCGCTCCCGGTGCCCCGGGCCCGCCCGCCGCTCCAGCCGTGAAGGGCCGTGTCCTGTTCCCCAGATCCGTCTCCTGCGCGCTGGCGGCGACTCCTTCCCGCTGACCGGCCGCTCCGGGGCCGTGCTGGGCCGGGTGAGTGCCCTGGTGACGGGCCGCGGGGCCCAGGTCAGCACCCACGGCCTGCACACCCCCCCCCCCCCCCGGCTGGCGCGGCTGTCAGAGCAGCCCGCCCGTCCCCAGCACACAAGGCAGGAAGCTGTCCCAGGCGCTGACCCCCCAGGTCCCTCCTGCACCCGAGACGGGCCCCGACCCCCTCCTGCCCCAGGCCTGACCCCTCCTACACCGGTCCCAGGCCCTGCCCGCCCCCTCCCGCCCCAGGCCTGACTCCCTCCCTCCCTGACCCCCTCCCCCCCAGGCCTGACCCCTCCCACCCCAGCCCTGACCTCCTCCCCCCCAGGCCTGACCCCCTCCTACACCCACTCCAGGCCCCGCCCGCCCCCTCCCGCCCCAGGCCTCACCCGCCCCCTCCCGCCCCAGGCCTGACCTCCTCCCCCCCAGGCCTGACTCCCTCCCTCCCAGGCCTGACCCTCTCCCCCCCAGGCCTGACCCCTCCTGCCCCAGGCCTGACCCCTCCCGCCCCAGGCCTGACCCCCTCCCGCCCAGGCCTGACCCCCCCCTCCCTCCAGGCCCTGAGGAGCCACGACGGCAGCTCCAAGCCACTCTACGTCTCCGTGGGCCACAAGATGAGCCTGGAGACGGCCGTGCGCCTGACCCGCAGCTGCTGCCGGTTCCGGGTCCCAGAGCCCGTGCGACAGGTGGGTGGGCGGCTCACCCAGGCCCGGCTCTGCCTCTGCCCTCGCTGCCCTGGCTACCACCCCTTCCCGGGCCTGGGCCCCTGGCTGCAGTGTGCGGAGCGGCCTCCAGGTGGCAGCACAGCCCCCGTGAGGGCCTAGCTCCGTGGCTGCGGAGCGCCTGGTGCCGGTGGTGGCCTGGCTCCAGGGGCCTGTCCTGTCCACCCTGCGGGACGTCCTCACGTCCTCCGGCCGCTCCCGCTGGAGAGAGGCCTGGGGACCGGGCGCGGCCGGGCCCTCGGGAAAGGGGTTTCACAGGGACCGCGGCTCAGGCCGCTCCACCTACGGGTGCTGCTGGCCGTGAAGCCAGGGGAGCCGCGTGGCTGCGGCTGAAACGGGGACCTGGATCCGGCTTTCCCGGGGGCAGGTGGCGGAGAGCTTGCCGGGCCAGCTGGGGGCCCAGCGCTCACGCACCCCTCTCCTAGGCCGACATCCGCTCCCGAGACCTCATCCGCAGGACCCTGGGCGGCCCCCCGGCCCCCGGCCCGCCCCCGGGCGGGAGAGGTGAGCGGAGGCGGCAGCATCAGCCGTCCTAGCTGGCTGCGGGCACCTGCCTGGGAGGTGGGTTCAGAGCCCGGGCTCCGTCCTTTCTGCTCTGAGCCTGGGCTCCTCCCGGGCGGCAGGCGCAGGGACGCCTACCTGCTGGGTCCGTGGGGAGCCTCCGGGCGGCACTGCCCCCTCGGGCAGGACGGGAAGCGGCCCGGGCAGTGAGGAGCGGCTCGGAGCCTGGTCTCTGGCTCCATCTGGGCGCCCCTCCCCGGCTCCCAGGGCGGCAGGCCCTGTGGGTGGAGGGGCCTCAGGCACGGGGTCTGATGCTGCCCCTCCTCCATGTCCGCACCAGCAGGGCTCCGAGGCCAGAGGCGGGTGAGGACAGGACCCCCGTGGAAGCCCCAGCCCCCGGCGCCCAGGAGCAGTAGGACCAGAGCCGGTGCGGAGCCAGCCGCGCCCTGAGAGCCGCCCGCCCGCCCGCCCGGCTCTGGCTCAGAGCCCTCCGCCCGGCGCCTCCGTGGGGCGGGACCGGCCGGCAGCCGGCGGCGCGCTCCGCTCGTACACGGGCCGAACGCCCGCTCCCGTGGCTGTGCTGTCCCCGTCCGTCCGTCCGCCGCCGTCGCGGCACGAGGCCGGCGCAGCCCGGCGATGCCGAGACCTCAGCACAGACCCAGGCCCGGGGCTTCCCCAGGGGTCCCGGGAGGTCTGCTTTGTTCTAAAAGTGCCCACGTGGGTCTGGCCGGTGTGGCTCAGTGGTTGAGCATCCGCCTATGAACCAGGAAGTTACGGTTTGATTCCAGGTCAGGGCACAGGCCTGGGTTGCGAGCTTGATTCCCAGTGGGGGGCGTGCAGGAGGCAGTCGATCATGATGCTCACCACTGACGTTTCTCCCTTCCCTCTGAAATCAATAAAAACAGATTTTGAAACAATGACCGTGCTCACAGCAGCTGGCCAGCACGGCGTCACAGCTCTGCCCGTCGGCCCTGCTGCGTCCGCCGCCGGCTGTTCTGGTTGAGCTCCAGGTGCCGTCACAGCAGCCCCCCGGGACCCCCCGAGCGGGCGGGAGGGGTCTGGCCGGGTTCCATGGGTGAGGACTGCGGCCGGAGCCGCCGGAGCTGGGACCTTCCGCCCTCCTGAGCAGTCGGCCTGTGAGTTAAAACGCCCGGTTCTCTCCGCCCTCAGGGAGCGTGGGTTTCTATCCGGCTCCGGCGGACGCTGCCTGGCAGCCCTGTGCACGCTTCCGAGGCACACGATGCCGTCTGTTCCGAGGGGTGACCTCCTGGCTCTCGGGGCGACGGTGAGGTCTGGACCCGCCGACGCTGGCCCCGGTGGCCCTCGCCCTGCGCCCTGGCTGCGCCCGCCGGCCTGGCCCCCGAGGGCGGCCCTGGAGCTCGCTCGCACTCCTCGTGCGCGCTGACGGCCTCTGCCCTTTCACTTTATTTTTAAATTTCTTACTGACTTCACAGGGAGGGAGAGGGAGGGAGAGGGAGAGAGAGACATCGATGGTGAAACAGTCATGGGCCGGCCGCCTCCTACACGGCCCCCACTGGGGATCGAGCCCGCACCCCGGGCCTGTGCCCCGACCGGGAATCGAACCCGAGACCCTTCCGTCCACAGGCTGGCTCTGTGCACTGAGCTGCCCCGCCTGGGCCCGGGCCCTTGTGAAAACTCAGCTGCCTCTTGTCTGTGGCGGGTGAAGAGCCGCTGTGGGAGCCGCCCAACAGCCCCGCCTCGCTCTGTCCCCGCGGGCGCTGACGCCAGGGCCTTTCCGGACGGACAGATGGACGGACGGACGGACGGGGAGCCTCGCTGCCCTGGGGCGGCGGCAGGGCGGGCGGCGGGGCGGGTGGGCGGCGTGGATGCCGGGCTGCGCGGGGCCGAGCAGGCCCTCCGGCTGGAGGCGCGGCGCGGCGCTGGCTGCCGCGGGAAGGCCAGGTGGGCGGCGGTGGCCCGGCGCCCTCCGTTACCATGGTTCCCTTCCCTTTGGTGTGCGTGGTCAGTCTCTGTCTGGGTCAGTCTGGTTGATGGGGGGGGGGGGGACCCCAGCGATGACCTGGCTCCCCCATGTCTGACCCTGACCCTGACCCAAGCAGACGGGCCCTGAAGGCACAGATCCAGCTGTCAGACACAGGCCCTCTGAGTCCTCAGCCCGCCTGGCCTCCGAGGGGTACTGAGCCCGCCGCGGGGGCGGGGGGGGCGGGGTTAGGCCTGACGAGGAGGCTGGAGGGTCCTGACCTTAAAGGGACCGGGTGGGGGGTGTGGGGGCACAGACCTGGGCCTGGCAGAGCGGGGGGGGGGGAAGTGGGGAGGGGAGACGGGGGGGGGGCACAGACCTGGGCCTGGCAGAGCGGGGGGGGGGGGAGTGGGGAGGGGAGACGGGGGGGGCACAGACCTGGGCCTGGCAGTGTGGGAGGGGGGGTTACGGGGGGTCGAGCAGGAGGGGGCCAGGAGCCCCCAGAGGGGCCAGGTGGGTCTGGACCTGCGGGCAGCGTTCTCAGGAGACAGACCCCGGGCCGCAGGAGGGAGGGGCTTCAGCGGCAGGTGCTGCCCACACGCTCGCCCCTCTGCCCTGCCCTCACCCAGCCCCGTCCAGAGGGCCGGGGGGCCGGGTGGCGCCTGGCTCTTCCCGCAGAACTTAAAAATAGAGCCGAGATGCCGTCCGTCTCAGACCACACGGCCCGAGCCCGGAATAGCCTGAGCCCCTTAATAATTCAGCCGGTCCAAAGAGGATGGCGCCTCACGGGTGCCCGTGTCCCGCCCAGGCTCACCCCATTCCCAGGGGCTGGGTGTGGGGCTCCCACAAAGCACACTCAGGCCCCTCGCCTCGGGGACCCCACCTGCCCCCTCCCCGCGACAGTCCGGCATGGGGACACCCAGGTCCTCGCTGTCCCAGGACCCTCCCCGCTGCGCCCCTCTGGCCACAAACATCGGTCCCTTCGATCACACCCCCTCGGGCTCGGGGGTCCCAGCCCTCCAGGGCCTGGCCCAGTCCCGGCTGCCTCCGGGAGGGTCCCTAAAGGGAATCCGTGCTGCTGGGTGGCAGTGGTCCTCACAGCCCGCCTGCTGCCTGCCCGGCCCGGCCCGGCCGGTGGAATGAACGGCCCGGGCACGCGCTGCGCTGACCCCGACGGGCCGCCCGCCCTGCGATCAGGCGCGAGGTGTGGGGATGATGGGTCGAGGGCGCCGTCCCGGGTCACCTCCCGGGAGGCCGGGGCGGCTTCTCGGGGGCCCCTGCCTCCGCGGGCCGTGCTGGGTGCTCGGGTGGGACCGCGCCCCTCGTTTGCCGCCCCCACCCAGCCGCCGCGCCGTGCCGGCCGGCCCCGCCCTCGGGCCGCAGCCCCCCGCTCCGCTCCCACCCCGGAGACCGCGGCCCTGTCTGGCGCTGCTTGTGCGGCAGGTCACTGGCACGGAGCCGCCCTGGCACATCCATGCCCGCGCCGTGCCGCGCCAGCCCGTCCTCGTGGCTCCTGAGAACCCCTGCGCGAGGCCGGCCGCCCCGGGCAGCGCCCGCGGCCACGGGAGCACCTTCGGTCCGGTTTCTGAGCCTCAGGCACCGCGGCGCCCGCCAGTGGCTCCATGTGAGCCGCACGGTCCCGTGTGGTGACGTGAGGTCCAGCAGGGTGGGGACCCCTCGGGCGCTGTCCTCCGAGGGCAGAACGGGGTGGCGGGGGGAGGGGCGTAGGCATGGGGGGACCACCGTCCGTGGTGCTGAAGCCTGTGGGGCTGGGAGCCTGGCTCTGGCTGCAGCTTCACTCCCCGACTACCCTGCCCCCCAGCCCCCCGCCCCAGGCAGCTGGGCGCGTGCAGGTCCCTCCCACTGCCCGCCCCTCAGTTCTGGCTGGTGGGACCGGACTGGCCACTGCTGGGCTTGTCACGCAGGCAGGGTCCCTCGTGGCGGTCAGCACTGTCCCCGCGCCCGGGACGCCCACCCCTGAGGCCGGAAAGCACCGCCTCCCCCAGCCCATCTGTGTCCCGGCTTCTCCCCGGGCGGCACCCAGGACCAGACTCCGTGATGAGCTGCCCGTCCTGCTGTGGACACAGACGCTGAGGGCGAGGGCCCGGTTGGCATACACCACGGTCTCCGTGAAGGTGGCTCGGGGCCAGCTAGGGCAGTGTCAGTGTCAGCTGGCCCTCCGTGCGGGCAGCCGGTACCCGGAGCCTGGTGCAGGGTGGCCGCTGGGTCCAGCAGGTGGGAGGGGGGCAGCAGAGAGGGGGGAGCGGAGTGGCCTCTGCAGGCCCTGGGGCGCTCACCCTGGCTCCCGCCGCAGCCCCCTCGGTCTGTCGTCCATCACGGCCAGCCTGGGAGGCACGTGTGCGGACCGTGTCTGCGGCCGAGTAGCCTCCTCCTCGGCAGCCGGGAGGGACCGCTAACTGCGGGCACGGGGGGGGGCTCAGGGGGAGCAGGGGGCGGGGCCAGACCCAGGGGGAGGCAGTGAACTCAGACCTGAGCTGTGAGACTTGGAGACAGTTTCTCAAAGCGTCTGAGCCTCAGTTTCCCCCCTGCAGAATGGGGCAGTCCATCCCGGGACCGTGGCGGGAGCGGGCAGTGCCCAGTGCAGACCCCGGAGCTCAGCGCACCCGACGGAGCTGCCCTCCCTGGGAGCCCACCCCTGCCTCCTGGGAGGGTGAGCTTACTGATGGCACGGACATATGGCAGCTGCGGAGGGGGGGGGGGGGGCTGCCGATGGTGAGAGCAGCGTGTCCCGCTCAGTCCTCCTGAAGCAAAACAAACAACATGTGAGAGCAGAGGCGGCCGGGGGCGTGCACAGCGTGTGTGTGTGTGTGTGTGTGTGTGTGTGTGTGTGTCTGCATGGCGCCGGCCCGGGGCGCTGGGAGGGGGAACGGAGGCGGAGGCCTGACTTCCTGGCTTGGGGCTCTCAGCTCAGGGGTCCTCTAAGGCCACGTGACCCGTCCCCTCGCCGCTCTCCAGGGGGCGCTAGCTCCAGGCCGGGACCATAGAAATGCTCTTTCTTCCGAGAATCCGAAAGCCACCTCCCGTCAGCCAGTCCACAGGCTCCGGCTGAGCCAGCTCCTGCTCTGAGCTGCGGGCGGATGAGGTGTGCACTGCAGGGGGCTGCACCCCCAGCCAGGCCCTCCCAGACCCCCTTCGGGGGCCCTCCTGCCGCCGGCCAGCAGCCCCTCCTCTTCCCAGGGTTCAGGCTGCTGCCATGGAAACGAGGCCCTTCGCTGGCAGCTGCACGCATCCAGGGACCAGGCGCCCAGCGCCTGTGCCCACCTCCAGGAGGCCAGCCCCAGGCCCCCTGCTCGCCACCTGCCTCCGTGGTCAAGAAACCGAGATGGGCAGAGGGAGCCTGGGCTGGGGTGGCCCAGTGGGCGGGGAGCCGGGCTGAGGGTGGTGAGCCACCGTGAACCCAGCGTGCACTGCAGGGTGTGCACTGCAGGGGGCAGCAGCCCGGCCCGGGACCTG